ATCACACGCCACTTCATGCTTTGAATCATAGAATCACAGCATCAAAGAGTTGGAAGAGACCTCATGGGCCATACAGTCCAACCCCCTGCCAAGAAGCAGGAATATTGCATTCAAATCCCCCCTGACAGATGGCCATCCAGCCTCTGTTTAAAAGCTTCCAAAGAAGGAGCCTCCACCACACTCCGGGGCAGAGAGTTCCACTGCTGAACGGCTCTCACAGTCAGGAAGTTCTTCCTCATGTTCAGATGGAATCTCCTCTCTTGTAGTTTGAAGCCATTGTTTGCGTCCTAGTCTCCAGGGAAGCAGAAAACAAGCTTGCTCCCTCCTCCCTGTGGCTTCCTCTCAAATATTTATACATGGCTATCATATCTCCTCTCAGCCTTCTCTTCTTCAGGCTAAACATGCCCAGCTCCTTAAGCCGCTACTCATAGGGCTTGTTCTGCAGACCCGTGATCATTTTAGTCGCCCTCCTCTGGACACATTCCAGCTTGTCAATATCTCTCTTGAATTGTGGTGCCCAGAATTGGACACAATATTCCAGGTGTGGTCTAACCAAAGCAGAATAGAGGGGTAGCATTACTTCCTTAGATCTAGACACTATGCTCCTACTGATGCAGGCCAAAATCCCATTGGCTTTTTTTGCCGCCACATCACATTGTTGGCTCATGTTTAACTTGTTGTCCACGAGGACTCCAAGATCTTTTTCACACGTACTGCTCTCGAGCCAGGCATTGTCCCCCATTCTGTATCTTTGCATTTTGTTTTTCCTGCCCAAGTGGAGTATCTTGCATTTGTCACTGTTGAACTTCATTTTGTTTGCTCGCTGGTGAGCTTATGCTCAACTTTAAGTGTCCTGTTTGTTTTTGAATGCTCTCCTGTATAGTTTAGTTTCCCTAACACAAACAACTGTTTTCAAAATTTAGAATCACGTTTTCAGGGCGAGGAGTACGATTTCTCTCCATCTCCGGGTCCCTGGCATCCTCCAAAGAGCAGCCAAAGGACAAACTCCATAAACATTTGACCAGGACTTGGGGAATCACCCAGCATTCATTACTGTGGTGTCGTGTCTCATCTAAACAACTGCTTTCTCTTAATCTGATTTCTGTTTTTTGGGGGGAGAAACCAAAAATAGCCTTTGTGAGCTGTGTGTTTCCAGAGAGTAAGCAGCAGGCCAAGAACGAAGCTCTCTGGGACAAAGGCTGCTCTATCTTCAAAGAGCCTAATCGGAAGGGAGAGAAGGGGAGGACGGGGGTCTTTCCAAAACTTCAATGCCCCAATTATGCTAATATTAGGCCAAGAACATTTTCTGCCATTCGCCTGCTCTTTTGTGTACCATCAAAGTTGGTGCTCAGCTTAACCCGTTCGGATACGCTTCCATCAAGGCCTCAAAGCGGTGTCTGTTCTGCTAATTGCCAAGGAAAATTAAGAATCTCCTCTTTCAAAGCAGGAAAGTGCTTATAAATAGCTACAGCAAATTCTGTAAATTTTGATATTTTAAAAGATATATGATGCTTCTCTCCAACCCACAAAGCCCATCCTCAAAACTAGAGGGTCTTTTCCTAGACCGGAGTTCGCAGAAGCTAGTTCTTTTGGCCTACTAATCTCAGCAGCCTCCAGTAGCAGCGTCATCTCTTTCCTAAGCCAGGACATTACTTGGAACCATTCTACTAAGGTTTTCCCCCTATGCTTTATGCCATTCCTATCCATTCAAAGTGGCTTTTCTCCCAATAGCTACAATTGCTAGATAGACACTAAAAGATGGCTTCTGCTAAAGCTTCAGAAGGGCCCCATCCATTTTGCACGACCAAAGTCCACAAATACTTTATGACCTCAGGATTAATGCTGGTTTAAACATTCTTATTTGGGGCTTTCAAGTCAACTCAGGTTTATCACAACCTTCTCCTAGATCAGTATTTCTCAACTTTCCTAATGCTGGGACACTTAATACAGTTTCTCAAGTTGTGCTGACCCCCAACCATAAAATTATTTTCATTGCTACTTCATAACTAATTTTGCTACTGTTATGAATCGTAATGTAAATATCAGATATGCAGGATGTATTTTCATTCACTGGACCAAATTTAACACAAATACCCCATACGCCCAAGTTTTAATACTGGTGGGATTGGGGGGATTGATTTTGTCACTTGGGAGTTGTAGTTGCTGGGATTTATAGTTCACCTGCAATCAAAGAGCATTCTGAACTCCACGAACAATGGAATTGAATCAAACTTGGCACACAGAACTCCCATGATCAACAGAAAATACTGGAAGGGTTTGGTGGGCATTGACCTTGAGTTTTCAAGTTGTAGTTCACTTGTATCCAGGGAGCACTGTGGACTCAAACAATGATGGAACTGGACCAAACTTGGCACAAATACTCAATATGCCCAAATGTGAACACTGGTGGAGTCTGGGGAAACTAGACCTTGACATTTGGGAGTTGTAGTTGCTGGGATTTACAGTTCACCTACAATCAAAAAGCATTCTGAACCCCACCAACAATAGTATTGGGTCAAACTTCCCACACAGAACCCTCATGACCACCAGGAAATACCCCCATGGCCCCATGCCTTGAAGGGACTCGCTGTGCACGCCTCCCTCCAGCCTCGCATACTCTCCCTCGCCTGTGCACCACGCTGCCATACACTGAGCACGCCTGCTCTCCTCTCCCCACTTGGATTCTCAGAAACAGCCCTCCCCTAGGTTGAGAGTTCAGTCAATCACAGCAGAGGAGGGCTTTTGGTGGGAGGATTCACCCTCTGTTCCCAATAAGGAAAAGAAGGACAAGCTGAGAGATCTTCAGCCTTCTCTGCCAAAGGGGTTCCTAAGACCATCAGAAATACTGTGTTTTCTGATAGTCTTTGGCGACCCCTCTGAAACCCCCTCGCACCCGCCCCCAGGGGTCCTGACTCCCAGGTTGAGAAGCGTTTTCCTAGATCTTTCTTAGCAATATTTGATCACAGAGAGTTTGCCATTGCCTTCCACTGAGGCTGACAAAGGAAAGTGTGAGTTGCCCAAGGTCACTCCCTAAGGGTTTCAATCAGTGGTACACAACCAATGGCCCTCCATGTGCTTTGGACTTCAGCTCCGAGAACTCCTGACCATTGGGCATGCTGGCAATAGGGGCTTCTGGGAGTTGGAGTCCCAAACACCTGGAGGGGAACAAGTTGTGCATCGCTGATTTAAATCCAGGGTTTCTAGACCTTAGGCTGATCTCAGAACAGGTTGCTTGGGAACTTAGCATGTGTTGTTTCCAACAAACAACATTCCACCCTAATTCAGAAAGAGAAAATACAATGGGCGTTAAGGCCATCCGACTCATTGCCTTGGGATATTGTCATGACTCTAACATAACGAGCTTTTGAATAAAGCAACTGCACAAAAACATGGGCGGAGGCCTCATTCATGAATGTTCAGGATCTGCAAGATCAAATGGGATGGGCCTCTTTTGAAAAAGACTTCTAAGTCCAAATAGGATGGATTTAACACAACGTTGTTGCGGGCCTTCTAGTCATTTCTGACCTGTGGCAATCCTAAGGCAAACTGATCCGTTCTGGGGCTGAGGGTGTGACTTGCTCAAGGTCACCCAGTGGTTTTCTAAGTGGGGATTTGAACCCTAATCTCCAGAGTTGTAGCCCAAAGGGTAAATTGTGCTGGCTCTCCCTTGACAATAACTAAACTTTGGCAAGACGTTTTCAACCATTTAGAAAGGGAACCATACCATAGCTGTGGTGATGCTGTTGATGGAAAAGGCCATGCGAGGAAGGCCTGAGATCCTGTGTTTCTGTCTCAAGGGAACATTTTGTAATGCTTTCCTGCTTGTCAGTCCTCCTACATTAACCTATGGGACATCCGCATATGTGCGTTTCTCCTTTGTGGTGTCCGTGAAATCGCACATGTGGTCTCAGTTCTTTTTGTCCGCCGCTCTTCCAGCAGCTAAGGAATCTTTCTCTTGTGTAACTATTATTTATTATTTATTACTAGCCATCCACTGCCACACATTGCTGTGGCCCAGTCTGTGTATATGTGTTGTGTGTGTATATATATGTGCATATGTATGTGTATATATTTGTATAAATGTGTGTATATATTTGTATATATGTGGATATGTGTGTGTGTGTGTATGGTTTTGTGCATGCGTTGTAATGTATATTTTTGTTTTTTTGGCTTTTTAAGTCCCTTCTGTTGTGTTTTTCAGTGTTTTTATGAGTGATGGTCACTCGTTGGCCTGATAGGTGCTTTGTGTCCAAATTTTGTGTCAATTCGTCCAGTGGTTTTTTGAGTTATGTTAATCCCACAAACAAACATTACATTTTTATTTATATAGATTTCACAGATCACCACTCGAAGAAACATAGTTACGAGTAAGCAACCATTACTTCCCCTTCTTTTGCAGACACTGTAGGTCAGTGATGCCAAACTTGCAGCCCTCCATAAGTTTTCAACTCCAGCTCCCAGAATTCCTGGGCACTGGACAAGCTGGCAATAGGGGCATCTGGGAGTTGGAGGTCCAAACAGCTGGAGGGTTTCAAGTTTGACACCTCCATTGTAGACATTGGTATTCCCTTCTTCTCTCAACAAAAAGCCAAAGCTCGCTCTCCTCTGACAGAGCGAACAGTGCCTGAAGCTGTCCCGCAGGGCCGTTCTGTGCTTTGCCGTGAAAAGCAGAAGCATCAGGTGAGGCCCCCATGTCCAGACGTGACAAAATGATTTTGGGATGAGAACTCTGGGACCTTCCAGAGCCTTGAAGGCATAGGCAGATGGTCCTGCTTGCCACAAATCACAGAATGTTTAACCCGGGGGGCCTTTCAAGGGTTGATAGATGGCTCAAAATCACATAGATCTGCATGCAGAGCCAGATGGGATTGCCACCGGCTCGCCGTGCAGTAGCTGGATCATCAACCTGACCTTCTGCATCAAGCATAAAAACCAGACGCTAACTAGGAGAATGTAGCTGCATATGTCATTGGTGGTAACTGGCCAAGTCAAGAACTTACGACAAGGTTATTGGGGTCCATGGACTCCACGGCATCCAAGAACTTGAACTGGACTTGCTGGTACTCTCTGCTGTGCTCAAAGGCAAAGTGTTGGATCCCCCGCTTGGTCTCCAGCAGTACCATAGAGACACCTGAGCAACAAGCAGAGAGAGAGAGAGAGAGAGAGAGTTTTGTTGGAACCAGAAGGCTCTGGCTACCATTATTTGCTTGTCATGCTTTTTTTTTTTTTTTGCCTTTTTCATTTTCAACAACAACAACAATTTTAATTGATTAGCCAGTTGGCCTTATCAAAAACAGGCAGTGCAGACACAACATACAACATGCAATATACATCTAGTCCTCTTAAAATAAAATACAAATATACAGGTAGCCATAGATATATGCATCAACTATCCTCGTCTCCCCTACACTGCACCCCAATCTGATCTATGTACTCCAATCTCCTTTTAGCAGCTTTAAACAAATAAAGGGCAACTTTTGTTGTCAAAATGGAGTTATAACCAGCCAACAAAAATGAAGTTTTGGCCGCTGTATCCCAACTTGTTTTATTGCAAATAAAAGGCCATACGTATTGTTTCCTTTCTTTTTCATATAGATTGCAGTGATGTAAAGTGTGGTTCAGATTTTTGACACCACAGATACATAGTCTTTCTTCATGTGGGATATGATTGAATCTGCCGTGTGTCTCCATAGATTCAATTTGTTCAAATCTTGCCCTGGTAAAAGCGGCTCTTAGGTGTCTTGGCATATCAGCTTTTAGGTACGACACCCTCTGGAAATTATGTTTAAAGCGCCCTAACCACTTCAAGGATCCCGTGTTTGACAGGGTGGCTATATCTTTCATATATATCTATATGAACCTATCCCAACTGCTAATTGGGAGAACTATTACCTACAACTGTTTGCACCTTAGCCACCTCCAAAGAATCATGTCACTCCTAGTTCTGAAAAGCTGCCAGACTGGCCCCCGACAACTGTCCAGGAAATAAAGAGCATAATTTAAAGCCTAAATAACAACAAAGCACTCAGAGAAGATTTCTTACCATCAGAACTGTTTAAATCCAACCCTGACTGGTGGGCCCCCCTGATAGCAGGTCTATGTAATCATATAAATAACACTGTTTTTTCATTTTCAAAATGATTGTGGGTAGTGTTAGACAAAATTATACAAACATTCAAAACATTTTCCATTAGCAACACATGTTTGCATCATTGCTCCTGCTCCCTGCCACATGCACGATGGAGGACCTTCTTGTGGCAACACCAGAGGCACTCCAAGTGACCAGATACTGGTCAAAGGACATTTAATCAGCTACCAAGTTTGCAAAATTTGTGGGTTTTTTTAATCTGTTTGTTTGTTTTGTTCTGTTAGAAATGTAATACAATGTTCTGGTTGCGGATGACACGATGAATATAAATATCATTGCTCCTCTTTCTTTCTTTCTCTCTCCCCTCCCTGGGAACTGTTTACGAATGTTGCTGTACTTATTACAATTGTTCATTCATGAGGATAATTTTGTTTAATTCTTATATTTATCTTTCCCTTTCTTCTGCAAATTAAGCCTTTCCATTTTGCCTCCCATGACTTTTTGATTTCGCCCATTCTGTACTAACTTTTCTTTTCGCTAATGTAGTCTTGGAGGAGGTAGTCCGCTAAATTTTATACCATGTTTTTGTGTCCTATTTCTTTTGGTCCTTCCAGCATAGAGTGACTGTGGCTTTAACTGCATCTCACATGTATTGTATTAATCCTTCCCATTCTTTAGATCCCCCTTTGATTTTTTTGAGGAAAAAATCTGTCTTTTTCCAATCTATTTCTATCACTAATAGTTCTTAATTATTATATGGAACTTTTGTATTTTTTCCCAGTGCCACCAAATGTGGGTGTATGTTCCGGTTGGCTGTTGTGCCAACATTGTTCTGGTTATGTGAGCTAATTGCACAGGAGTTCTATACCATTTTGTCTGGATTTTCCATTGCATTTCCTTTATTTTTATATGTTTTATTTTATTAATTGAATTCATCCAATTGTCCATTTCTCTCTTACTGCAACTTAGTTCCTCCTTCCAGATTTCTGTCAAAGTTTTTTTTATACATTGTATAGTTTTCTCATGATTATTTTGTATATGTTTCCTATGATTCTTTTCTCCTTCTCTACTTTCCATTTTATTATTTTATCAAGATCTGTTTCTGGGATTTCCTTACTCTTCCATTGTGTTAACTTCTTCAATAACACTCTCCATAAATAGTCAATTTCTGTGTCTGCACTTGTCCTTTAACTCCTCCCATTGGAGTTAAAAACCTCTTCTGTTGGGTTTCAAAATGTTCCCAATCTTCGTTATGCTGTGTTGTTCCAATTTCTTTAATATGTTCTGGTATAATTGGACAAATTATCAAATATGGCCAAATTTGAATACTGACAGGCTGGGCTGGGGATTGATTTTGTCATTTGGGAGTTGTAGTTGCTGGGATTTATAGTCAACCTACAATCAAAGAGCATTCTAAGCTCCACCAATGATGGAATTGAACCAAACCTGGCACACAGAACTCTCATGACAAACAGAAAATACTGTGTTTTCTGATGGTCTTTGGCGACCCCTCCGACCCCGCCCTTGTGACCCCCCCCCCCCCGGGGTCCCGACTCCAAGGCTGAAAAATGCTGCTCTAGACATTTCCTTTCCATTCAAGCAGTGGTTCTTTTCAACAGGGACTAGCCGGCCATCCATCTTTTGGTATTAGTTCCATACCTTGAGGAAGCCCTGTGTGCTATCTATGGAAAACATAGCACATTAATTCATCCAATTCCTCTGCTAAGGAAATCAAATTTCAGGCTGTCTTGTAACACAAGCTTTGGACCCTACAGGAATGCCTCTGTTCCCCGAGGGACCTGGGAGAATCTCTCACCTGTCTTGCTGTGGCGGGGCCAGGTGCTCTTGGGGACCGTCAGCCATGTGCTGCGGATGTACTGGCGCTGCCTCTGCCGCAGCCTGAGAAAGGAGACAGAGAAAACAGGGGCCCACGCAATGAGGAGAAGGGGTGGAAGGGCAAACGACACTGAGAACTTCCCTGGAGTATGAACATCTTAAGGGCTGCCCTCACGTTCTGCTTTATATTCTACATGGGTCCTAAAACCTTTGCATTTGACCCCATATGGCTGCAGCAGTACCTTTTCCAGCCTGGAAGGCTTTCTTCCTTACTAGCGGAAAACATGTAAGGAGAGGAACTCCCTCAATTATGAAGCCGCCAAGGAGCTTAAGGGATAAAATGTCATCACAAGAGCACCAAGAAGAAATATACTAGCATATTGGTATTTTTAATAACCAAAAATACCTTAACACCTCTATTTCTGACCACTTTGATTCCTTTGTTCTCTTCTGCAGCTTTTGCAATCATTAGAGGGTATCCCTACTTACAAAAAAATGGCCCCAGCCTGGCCTCAGCTGCCCACCCTACAATCTAAGGACAGTAAGAAGCCATACCTTGAAAACTGCTAGCCCATTAAATGCTAATCAAGGTGGCCAATTGAAACATTCACACCTACCCCCAACAGACAAGAGTTCTTTCTCCCACCCTAGACATTCCATAGATATATAAACTCTATTTTCCTAGTTTCCAAAAGACCTCCCAACCTCTGAGGATACCTGCCATAGATGCAGGTGAAACGCCAGGAGAGAATGCTTCTGGAACATGGCCATACAGCCCGAAAAACTTACAGCAACCCAACCTAAGGGCAGCGCAACAGGGAGGAAAGAGCAACAATTTCCCCTCTGACCTTGCCTGAGAAAAGTTTTTGAATTACAACTTCCAAGATCTGTCAGAAATATTAAAAATTAACTAGGTATTGTTAATTACAAAAATGTGAGTCAAGCACTGAAAGGGTTAAATGGATGCACTGACTCAGCAAACACTCAGCTTACATGAGGCCAAGCCCGACAGCATATTACATAGAATAAGATAAAACCAGAGCATAAACAACAACACAGTACAATACAAAAAACATATATGTACTGTAAGCATTATAAAAATACAATACAAAATCATTCACAATCACAATAACAATGAGCGGGCCACATGTACCAGATAAAATACTAAAAACTCAAGGTGAGACAGGAGTGGAATAGAGCGGATTGTTTGTGAGGGAGAAGCTCATACAGAACAGGGTCGAACTTCATACAGAAGGAGGGAAGTGTAGTATAGGGACAAAACGTTGGCTTTATGGCTACTCTCCGAAAGCGCAACGGAAAAGCCAGGTTTTGAGATTCTTCTTGAAGATTTCTAAGGTGGGGGCTTGCCTAATCTCGCCAGGCAATGATTCCAGAGTCGGGGGGGGGGGGGGGGGGGGGGGGCACTGCAGTTCAATATAAGGAGGTGTGCCTGTAGCTTAGTACACCTCAGTGTTAGTTGCCCTCAGTATGAAGAGGCTTCAGTCAGAGTTAGAAGGCCTCAGTCTGAGAGAGGCCTCAGTATGAGGTAAACCTCAAAGTTAGTAGGCCTCAGTGTATGAGAGGCCTGGTATGAGAAGCTTCAGTGAGAGAAGCCCCAGGTTGAAGGTCACCATGAGTGAAAGCTACTGTGTGTAAAAAAACTATTGTGTGAAGCTCCTGTGTAACTTTGGTGTGAGAAGAGGCTCTGTGAGAGTGAAACTGTTTACCTGCATGAGAAAGAAGGCCAGCGTGGAAGCAAAGAAGGAAGTATAAAGAACTTTGTTTGTGTTATGGAAAACTTGTTTTTGTAAATAGTGTAACCATATTATTTTGCTATAAAGAAAAGACTCCTAAGGAAGAGATAACATTGGCCTGTGTGTTTTTGTTCTTTTTATCACTTGTGGCTACTGGTGCTGGGTCACGCTGCTGCTAATAATTATTCATTATTTTTTTTAGAACTTTTATATACCAGTCTTCTCACCTCCAATGAGTGACTCAGGCCGGTTTACAACAGAGGAATTCATACACAATAGTTTAAAACATCACATCCAATAATACACTAATATAAAACACATTAAAATACAATCATATAATTGTATAAGGCCAAGGCGTCAGCATAAAATCACTATTCATCCCCATCCGTCCGTGTGGTCAAGAGTTATTGACTCACTCATCAAATGCCAGATTCCAGAGCCAGGTTTTCACCAACTTTCTAAAGGTCAGGAGGGAAGGGGCAGTTCTAATCTCCAATGGGAGAGAGTTCCAGAGCAGAGGGGCCACCACCGAGAAGGCCCTGTCCCTCGTCCCCACCGAGAGCAGGGCCCCTCCAGAAGATCTTAACAACCTTGATGGTTCATCTGCTGTACATTTATGAAGAGGGTCTTTTGTCAATAAGCCCACTTGCCCTACAATCTTCTGCCCAGGATTGGTACCGTTTCTGCTCAGTGATGGATTCTGGAAGTTGTAGTCCACAAAAGCACTTTCCTCAAGGGCACAGGACATAACATTTGAAATCAGGGCTCAAAACTATCCGTGAAACTCACTGCCCCGGAGTCTGGCAGAGATGCCTTCTTTGGGGGCTTTTAAGCAGAGGCTGGATGGCCATCTATTGGGAGGGTTTTGATGGTGCTTTTCCTGCTTGGCAGAAGGGATTGGACTGGATGGTCCCTGGGGGTCACTTCCAACTCTACGATTTTATGATTCTACAATTGATACATTCATGCAAGTCAGCATCCACCCATCTAGGATCTCTATAAATTAAGGTTAAGAGTTGGCACATAAAAGTTGATAAGAAAAGCCTATGTTAGTGTTTACTTTTTATCATGCACAATTGTGCCATGCCCTTCCCGCTTTTGGGGCTTTGTGTGGCCTTTCACTTTCCCTGGGAACTTCTCTGACTGGCATCCTGTCCTCAGAGAAGTTGCCACCACAGTCTCCTCCTTTCAACCGCATCCACATCACCTATGAAGACAAACCCACATCCAGGCCTCTTGGGTGCCCAAAGGAGCACAAAGCATACATTTAAAAAAAGCAAAACCCCAAATCAGGCCCTCTTTCTAAAGAGACACTGATGCTTTTGTAAGAAGGCTCCCTTTGGGCTCCTGGGGACAGCCCAGCTTTCTGTAAGTTCTCTCTCTTGGATCCAAGTTATGACTCGCTTTCACAATTCCTTTGAACATCTCAACTCAATTGCGTGTTTTCCAAAGGGGAACAAAAACATGTCTTCGTTTCTAGGCTTGGACTCACCTCTGATCGCCAAGAACTGCTCGGGCTCCAAAATATCTCTTCAGCTCAGTTTCTGGGTTCAGGTTCCTGGAAAAGGTAGAATACAAACCCATCTTATTATTTATTTAATAACTAGCTGTCCCCTGCCACGCGTTGCTGTGGCCCAGTCTGATGATCTGGAAAATATGAGAAAGTATGAAAATATGAGAAAATGAGAAAGTGTTGGTTTCTAATATATGTAATGTCTTTATGCTTGTAGGTAAACACTTGTTGTTTCTTTGTGGAGAGTGTTGTTTCTTTGTTGATGTGGAGAGTGTCTGGTTTGCCCACCCTGGAACATGCAACATACCATAGTCCTTCTTTAGGGGTCCCTTTCAAATCTATGATACTATATCTGTGGGTGTGTGTGAATCATCTAGCTATATCTATGGCTGGATGGCTCTTTGTCAGGAGGGCTTTGATGACGTTTTCTTGCCCCGGTGAAAGGAGTTGGACTGGATGGCCTTAAGTATTTTCTGTTGGCCATGAGGGTTCTGTGTGGGGAATTTGTCCCAATTCTGTCATTAGTGGAATTCAGAATGCACTTTGATTGTAGGTGAACTATAAATCCCAGCAACTACAACTTCCAAATATCAAGGTCTAGTTTCCCCAAACTCCACCAATGTTCACATTTGGGCATATTGAGTATTTGTGCCAAGTTTGGTCCAGATCCATCATTGTTTGAGTCCACAGTGCTCTCTGGATGTAAGCAAACTACACCTCCCAAACTCAAGGTCAATGCCCACCAAACCCTTCCAGTATTTTCTGTTGGTCATGGGAGTTCTGTGTGCCAAATTTGGTTCAATTCCATCATTGATGGAGTTCAGAGTGCTCTTTGATTGTAGGTGAACTATAAATCCCATCAACTACAACTCCCAAATGATAAAACCATAATTTTTGAGTGATGGTTTTGAGTTTTGTTGCCAAATTTGATGTGATTTTGTTCATTGGTTCTTTTGTTTTTAAGATACTCATTATGCCCAGAGCATTTATATATATATATATAGATAATAATAATAAAATAATAAAATAATAATTATTTAGGAACAGTGAATTATTTACAAATGTGCCGTTGGCACCGCAAGGAAGAGGAGGACTGGGCCTTAAGACTCTTACAGAGTAAAATGTGCATCAAATTAGGGGTTGTTTTGAACTGCATTTCCCAGCAGGCCTAGTAGCCAATTGTGGGATGCTGGGAGTTGCAGTCCAACAAACCCTGAAGGGGGTTATTTTCACTTATCTCGAGGTGGAAAAAGTTGAGGGAGGGTCATCAGAGAATACTAATAGATTTGAGATGTTTGTCTTAAAAGCACTGGCTGCCTCTCTGGATTGCTTTTGTTTTATTTATGACTAGCTTGGATATTCAATGTTGCCTGGGCTATTAGAAGCCATTTTTTTAAAAAAATAGTAAATGCATAAGGTTGTGGGTGAACTACATCTCACATCATGCCAGGTTAACCGCCTGAAACTCCATCAATACTTAAAAGTTTATCATGTTGGGCAAGTTTGCTCTAGATGCATCATCAGTGAGGTTTAGTGTGCTCTCCAGCTGCAGGATGAATTACAACTCCCACCATGGTGGGATCAGTCCCGTCAAATCCCTCAAGTACGTTCAGTTGGTCATGGGGGTTCTCTGTGCCGAGTTAGGTCCAGATTCATCATCAGTTCATCAAAGTGCTCTTTGATTGTAGGTAAACTATAAATCCCAGTACTTACAACTAACAAATGTCAAGGCCAATTCGCCCCAAAACCCACCAGTATTTCAATATTGGCATATCGGGTATGCATGTCAAATTTGTTGCAGATCCACTGTTGTTTGCATTCACAGTGCTCTCTGGATGTAGATGAAGAATAATTCTTATAAATCAAGATGAACCCCCCCCCCCCCCCGGCCAAAAAAAAAGCCTTCCTGTATTTTTCTTTGGTCATGTGGGTTCTGCATGCCAAGTGAGGTCCAGGGCTATCGTTGGTGGAGTCCAGAGTGCTCTTTGATTGCAGGTGAACTACAAATCCAAGTACCTATAACGGTTATAAATCACGGTGAATTTCCCCCAAACCTCTCCAGTATTTTTATCTGGCCATGCCAAATGTGGTCCAGGTCCATTGTCAGTGGAGGTCACAGTGCTCTGACTTGATGCTGGGTGCACTACAATTTCCATCATGTGGAGCCAGTCCTCCAAAACCCCTCCAGTATGTTTAGTTGCTGATAATTTCTGCTCTATTTGTTGTGCAGAGTTGAAAAGAGTAGGAAAGGGTTAAGGGAGAGGCAGTGGGTGGGATCATGCAAATTCCAAACCAATGGAGAGACACAAAAACACTGGGATGTCTGTGATGGAGGGAACACATAAAATCTATGATGAAGTTGTCCCCAGATGAAAGCATTCCTTGGGTAGTGGGCAAAAATACCCAATATGCCAAAATTTGAATACTGGTGGGGTCGGAGGGGGATTGATTTTGTCATTTGGAAGTTGTAGTTGCTGGGATTTATAGTTCGCCTACAATCAAAGAGCATTGTGAACCCCACCAAAGATGGAATTGAACCCAACTTGGCAGACAGAAATCCCATGACCAACAGAAAATACTGGAAGGGACACTGACCATGAGTTTGGGAGTTGTAGTTCACCTACATCGAGATAGCACCATGGACTCAAACAATAATGGATCTGGACCAAACTTGTCACAAATACTTAATATGCCCAACTGTGAACATTGAGGAAAATAGACCTTGACATTTGGGAGATGTAGTTGCTGGGATTTATAGTTAACCTACAATAAAAGAACACTCTGAACACAGTCCATGATGAATCTTCATCAAACTTGGCACACTACCTACATGGCCAATATTGAATACTGGTGGGGTTGGGGGGATGTTTTTGAATTCTGGGAGTTGTAGTTCACCAACACCAAAAAGGATGAGAAGGACAGGCAGAGAAATCTTCAGCCTTCTCTGCCAAAGGGTTCCTAAGACCATCAGAAATACGTGTTTTCTGATGGTCTTTGGCGACCCCTCTAGGGGTCCCGACCCCCAGGTTGAAAAATGCTTTCCTAGATTTTTCTTAGCAATATTTGATCACAGAGAGGTTGCCATTGCCTTCCACTGAGGCTGAGAAAGGAAAGTGTGAGTTGCCCAAGGTCACTCCTTAGAGGGTCTTCCATTTTCAAAGGCGATCTATTCTACTGTTGAACAGTTCTTAAAGGAAAGAAGTCCTTCCAAATGTTTATGTGCAATCCCTTTTCTTGCAATTCAAATCATCTTCCACATGGCATTCCCTTCTGATGTTTAAAGCGGGTTACATCATGTCACCTCACATTCTTCTCCAAGATCACATACTCATCCTCTTGTTCTTCTTCAGGGCCTGGTGATTTCTTTCCAAGACCTCTCCAAACTAAGCATCTCTAGGTCTCCAGGGCACTTCTCATAGTTTCCAGATTGTTGGACATTTTGGTCATATTTCTCTGGACTCCTTACATCTTGTCCATCTCCTTGAATGGCCTTGACCAGAACTGGACTCAGGTATTATTCCAGGAAAAGAGGTCTGACCAAAGCAAAACAGGGCAGGACTAGAACTAGCCTACTGTATCACATTTTGGTTCATGTTCACCTTGAATACTCTAAGACAGTGGTTCCCAACCTTCCAAATGCCACGACCCCTTAATACAGTTCCTCACGTTGGGGTGACCCCCAACCATAACAATATTTTTGTTGCTACTTCATAATTGTAATTTTGCTACTGTCATGAATCGCCATGTAAATATCTGATGTGCAGGATGTATTTTCATTCACTGGACCAAATTTGGCACAAATACCCGATACGCCCACATCTGAATACTGGTAGGGTTGGGGGTGATTGATTTTATCATTTGGGAGTTGGAGTTGCTGGGATTTATAGTTCACCTACAATCAAAGAGAATTCTGAACTCCACCAACAATGGAACTGAACCAAACAGAACTCCCATGACGAACAGAAAATACTGGAAGGTTTTGGTGGACGTTGACCTTAAATTTTGGAGTTGTAGTTTACCTACATCCAGAGAGCCCTGTGGACTCAAACAATGATAGATCTGGATCAAACTTGGCACAAATACTCAATATGCCCAAATGTGAACACTGGTGGAGTTTGGGGAAAATAGACCTTGACTTTTGGGAGTTGTAGTTGCTAGGATTTATAATTAACTTACAATCAAAGAGCATTCTGAACTCCACTAACGATGGAATTGAACTAAACTTGGCACGCAGATCTCCCACGACCGACAGAAAATACTGGAAGGGGGCATTAACCTTGAATTTTGGAGGTGTATTCACCTACATCCAGAGAGCACTCTGGACTCAAACAATGATGGAGCTGGATCAAACTTGGCACAAATAATCAATATGCCCAGATGTCAACACTGGTGGAATTTGTGGAAAGTAGAACTTGATACTTGGGTGTTGTAGTTGCTGGGATTTATAGTTCACTTATAATCAAAGAGCATTCTGAACCCCACCAATGATACAGTTGGGCCAAACTTCCCACACAGAAGCCCAATGACCAACAGAAAATACTGTGTTTTCTGATGGTCTTTGGTAACCCCACTCTAAGGGTCCCAACCCCCAGGTTGGGAAATGCTACTCTGAGAAGACTCCTAGATTTCTTTCACATGGACTATTTTCCATCTAGCTGGACACAGGATTATTATTTCTGGTGAGGTCTGGCCAAAGCAGAGCAGAGTTGGACTAGGACTGCTCTTAATCTGGACATGAATCTCCTGTTGATGCAGCCTGGAATTGCCCTGGCTTTTTTTGGCTGCTACATCACATTGTCCACACATGTTTAGCTTGTGATCTTCTAAGAACTTTGGATCTATTGCTGATTGAAAGCCAAATGCTACCTTAAATCATATCAAACAGAACAAAAACAACAACAAGGGCAGAGCTAATGTTGCAGCCATACGCCTTGAAACTGATGATTTCTTTCCCTTGCTCTGAAACAGTGGCTCTTAACCAGGTCTCAGGGAACCCTGAGGGACCATGAAGGATTGAAGAAATGTCATGGTTTTTTGGCAGTTAAATCTGAACAAACAAACAAGTGAAAGCAAGCTAGAAAGGGAAACGGAACAAAATCTTCATTTTCCACGCTTCTTTTGGAAAACTTGGCTTTTTAAACCTATTGCCTCGATTAAAAACAGTCAGAGGTGGAAGTCAGCTATGAGAGTAGCTAGGTGGGAAATGTACCAGGAGAAGTAGTAGTCGTATCATTATTATTGTGATAGTTATTGCTATTACTGTTGCCATTATTACTGTTCTGCTCTCAATACTATTACTATTTATTTTATTTATTTACAATATTTATATACCGCTTTTCTCATCCCTCGGGCGACTCAAAGCAGTTATTAAATATTATTATTTATTAAATATAATTAGTACTAGCCGTCCCCTGCCACGCGCTGCTGTGGCCCAGTCTGGTGATCTGGAAAAAGTAATGAGAAAGTGTTGGTTTCTAATATATGTAATGTCTTTATGCTTGTAGGTAAACAGTATTTGATCACGTTTTCTTGCCCTGGTGAAGGGAGTTGGACTGGATGGCCTTAAGTATTTTCTATTGGTCATAGGGGTTCTGTGTGGGAAATTTGCCCCAATTCTATCATTTGTGGAGTTCAGAATGCTCTTTGATTGCTGGTGAACTATAAATCCCAGTAACTACAACTCCCAAATGTCAAGGTCCATTTCCCCCAAGCTCTATCTGTGTTCCTAGTTGGGCATATGGAATATTCGTGCCAAGTCTGGTCCAGGTCCATCACTGTTTGAGTCCATAGTGCTCTCTGGATGTAGGTGTACTACAACTCCCAAACTGAACGTCAATGCCCACCAAACCCTTCTGGTGTTTTCTGTTGGTCATGGGAGTTCTGTGTGCCAAATTTGGTCCAATCCATCTTTGGTGGAGGTCAGAATGCTCTCTGATTGTAGGTTAACTATAAATCCCAGCAACTACAACTCCCAAAGACAAACTCTTTTTTTTTGGAGTGATGGTCACTCCTTGGGTTAGTAGGTGTCTTGAGGCCAAATTTGGCAGCAATTCGTCCAGTGGTTTTTGAGTTATGTTAATCCCACTACCGAACATTACATTTTTATTTAAATAGATTGATATAATTATTTTAAATTAGTATGGACTCATTACAACCAAAATATTATATTATGAGTGTAGGTGTTAACAGATTAACATATCCCCTTCTCTCTAAATTTGAAGGACCCTCATGAGAAAATTGAAATTATTTTTAGAGCCTTAAATCTTGAGTCTTGCGGGTCTGTGACCCCAAAAGGAATTTAAAAGGGGGGCTTGTGGTGAAGAAAAGGTTGAGAACCACTAGTTCGGACAGAAAACACTCCTACTGCCCCCTCTTGGACAAACAGTGCAGTAATTTACTAGGCCACCAAACTCAGATAGGGTTGTGCTTTCCTCCTGATCTGCAGTTCTGCCATTCTTTCTCATAATTCACCCAAACACAGAGACTGGTAAAAGGGACTTCCTGCACTACAGTTTCCAGAGTCTCTAGCCAACAAGTGCAAAATATGATAAGACCATTAATGTCATAACCATTAGTTATTTGGGTTGCTGTGAGTTTTCCGGGCTGCATGGCCATGTTCCAGGTCTGACTTGGCCATGGTGGTCCATGCTCTAGTTACATCCCGAATGGAGTACTGCAACGCATTCTACATGGGGCTGTCTTTGAAGACTGCCCGGAAGCTTCAACTAGTCCAACGGTCGGCAGCCAGGTTGCTCACCGGAGCGACGTACAGGGAACATACAACTCCTTTGTTACGCCAACTCCATGGCTACCAATCAGCTTCCGAGCACAATTCAAAGTGCTGGTTTTAACCTTTAAAGCCCTAAACGGTTCTGGCCCAGGCTACCCGTCCAAACGTATCTCCTGCCACGTACCATCACGAAGTTGAAGATCTTCAGGAGAGGCCCTGCTCTCGATCCCACCACTATCGCAAACACGGTTGATGGGGATGAGAGACAGGGCCTTCTCAGCAGTGCCCCCCCTCCTATGGAACGCCCTCCCTAGAGATATCAGATTGGTCACCTCCCTCTTGTCTTTTAGAAGGAAAAACAAGACCTAGTTATGGGACCAAGAGTTTGATCAGTTAGCAGAAAGTGGAAGAAGATCACACAACTTATGGCAATAAATTGACCCGGACTAGTTTTTGGATTTCGATTTTAATGGATGTGTCTTAATTAATTCTTTTAATTGTTGTTTCAATATTTTCAATATTTTGATTGTACTGTGGTTGTTTTTATGATGCTAGCATCGTATGATGCTTTCATTAGGCCGCCCTGAGTCCCCCTTCGGCGGGAGAAGGGCGGGGTATAAATATAGGAAATAAAAATAATTCCATAAACATTTCCTCTTGACGTTTCACTTGCATCTATGGCAGGCATTATCAGAGGTTGTGAGGTATGTTGGAAACTAGGAAAGTGGGATTTTTATATCTGTAGAATGCTCAGGTGGGAGAAAGAACTCTTGTCTGACTGAGGCAGGTGTGAATGTTTCAATTGGTCATCTTGATTAGCATTGATTAGCCTTTCATTTTCAAGGTATGGCTGTTTATTGCCTGGAGGAGTAAACTGAACAAAATATGGATCTCAATATTAAAAACTCTAAAATCAGGAGAGTAAATAACAACATTCAAAAAACAGAGGAATTCCAGACATGAATCAATCAGGGCCACCTAATACCTCCCAACAAAGGATGCCCCCAGGCAGGAAGCAGCCAGATCTCAAAACTGAAAGGCTAATCAATGCTAATCAAGGTGGCCAATTGAAACATTCACGCCAACTCAAACAGACCCTGAACATTCCACAGATATATAAACCTCACTTGCATAGTTTCCAACATAACACATAACTTCTGATGATGTCTGCCATAAATGCAGGCGAAACAGCCCAGAAAACTCACAGTGATTCCAGCCAGGAAAGCCTTCAACAACACATTAGTTATTTGATTATGACATCCCATTTGTAGTCTGTATGATATTGGCAAATCATAGAATAGGAAAAGATCACACTGGCCATCTAGCTCAAGCCGCTGCCATTCACAAAAAGCATCATCAAAGCACCCGACAGATGACCATCCAACCTCCATTTAAAAGCCTCCTAAGAGGGAGCCTCCATCAAAATCTGTGGCATTGAGTTCCACTGCTGAACAGCTCTCATGGTCAGGGAGTTCTTCCTAATGTTCAGGTGGAATCTCCTTCCCATAATTTGAACCCAAATAGATATTGACATATGGACACAGGGCTATGTAGTGACCAAATGGGCAGGAATGTGGGGAGTTTTATTGGCATGCAATAAAGGTCAAGTGCTCATGGTTTTGTGGGGAAAAAGGCCTGGGGATTAGAAGATCTGTGTGTCATATGACCCTGTGTATGAGGTCTATATATATGGTGTGCCTCAGAGCAACTTTTGTTAGTATAAACAATAAATGTTTTGATACCAGCTAAATTACTGTGTGGTCTCAGAGAATCTTTTTATAATAAAGTGTCTCTCCAATAGAAACACAGCTGATGCTATCAGGAAATTGACAGTTTCTTCAGACTGACAGTTCATGAAGTAATTAAACTTTCAAACAGAATAACCTTACCTGTGCTCTACGTACAACAGAGGCCGACTGTCTGTGGGCACCCTGCTTTGGCTCTGGCATGAAGGCCCATCAGGAGTCTCAATCCTCACCAGGATGCTCTCAATGTCTTCTGCGTCGTCTTCATCCCCAGGGCCCTGTGCACAAAATTGCTGTGGTTTTAGCTCCATGAAGAAGTCTATAATTGCTTTTTAAAAAAATACTGTTCATGTTTAATTCTATTTTAATGTTTTTATATTTTTAAGTTTTAAATTGTATGGTATTGAGAAAAAATTATATTAATATTATTAATAGAATATTAACATTAATATCCCTTTTTGATAATAATAATAAACTTTTGAAGACGCACTTATGCACTTTAGCATATGGAGAGGAGGAGGACTAAGATACTCTTCCATCGGAACACTGGCGAACCCATTTGCACTATATGATGGCTATGATACATTTTAATAAATGCTTGTGTTAGCCATTTCATCTGCAACTCATGTCAAACTGTTTTTCATTATGTATGTTTAATGTTCACAGGCCCTAATTTATTGTCTGACTGGTTTACCCCATCTCAACATTTAATTTTTCAATTATTGCTGTTATTGTGTATTATTCCTGATGTTGTTCGTTACTTTGTAAGGCATTTAATGTTTGCCTGTTTTTGTGCTGTAAACTACCCTGAGTCCCTTTTGGAAGAGAGGTTCAGCCTAGAAATAAAGTATATTATTATTATTATTATTATTATTATTATTATTATTATTATTATTATTTTCCCACTGCAGGAACTTCCTGGTGAATAGAGGTTTCTCTTGGGTTCAAACAATATTTATTTATTTATTTGTTGTATTTATATATCACCTTTCTCACCCCTGGGGTGACTCAAATTGCGGTTTACAACATATTAATAGCAAAAAAAATCAATGCCAACATACAGTACACGAAGAAATCATGACAGCTAATTACTACATATAACTATGAACTTAAAATCAATTAAAACCATTAAACATGACATACATAAAATTTAAACATTCAGACAAGCATAAAATCATACTAGTATAAACATAAACAATATTTCCATAGAGGTGATCTCCTATTTATAAAAGCTAAACTACATAAGGTTGAATGGTGCTCAAGAGTGGGGCATTGCATAGCTCTTCCATAAATCCAGTGTCAACTTACCAGAGTCTCACCCGACGCATTTTTCTTGTTCTTTCTTTTCTTCTTCTTCTTGCGCGATTTGTTATTTGGAAGAGGCTTTTAAAAAATTAAATAGAAGTAAACAGTGAGACATATGGTTTGCAGCATCTAGCCAAATGGATATCATAAGCAGCCTACTTAGATCAGGCAACCTGATTTAAAACAAATGTTACACTGCAAGAGGAATTAGCACAACTGAAATAATTCCAGAGCTCTGCCTCCACCCTGTGGCACGAAACTGAAGTAACAAGTAGTTTTCATGGGACTTCATTCCCTAAATGGACTAGAGTTGAAAAGCAAAGGCATTTCTAGCCTAGCCTACAAGTGAATCCATTTCTAACATTTATATTTCACCTTAATAAATAGAGTAGTGCTTTCCAATCACCTTAATTCAAATATTTGAATTAAAAATCAACAAAACAACCAACATTTACAAGGTCAGAAATCTTAGTACTTCATTTTGGGCTCAGACTAGGAGCACTCTACGTTTTTAAGAGACACTCCTGGGATATTGAGTGACCTATCACACAGTTATAGGTCATTATTATTATTATTATTATTATTATTATTATTATTATTATTATTACTATTATTATTATTATATTTTTATCCTGCTTTTCTCTACCATAAGGTAAAGGTAAAGGTAGTCCCCTGACATTAAGTCCAGTCATGTCTGACTCTGGGGTGTGGTGCTCATCTCCATTTCTAAGCCAAAGAGCCAGCGTTGTCCGTAGACACTTCCAAGGTCATGTGGCCAGCATGACTGCATGGAGCGCCGTTGGCTAGCACTAAAAGCTATAACAACGTGTGAATTAAAACTTAGCACAAATAAATATTAAAATAGAAATAAACATCAAAATATTTTTAAAATACATAGTTAAAAGAAATAAATCAATTAAAAAATCTATTAAATTACATCAAACACAGCATCTCAGGGCATTTACCGTTTGGTCCAGTTGTTTGGTCTCAGCTCCTCCTTTCTGCCGGTCATTTTCCAGACTCTCTTGGTTCTTTTGGTCACCTTCCTCCTTCAGCCTGGAATCATCTTTCTCCTCTTTGGATGTGAGATCGTCCTCTATTTCTTCATTGGTTATCTGTGGAAATTAAACAAAATTAGTCCAGCTCAGCCCATAGGATTGGTTTCTCAACCCTTTGCTGATATGAAAGCAAAGACTGTACTTGCATAAATAAATTAGAAGCAAAGCCCATTACTCAAGCACAAAGCATGCCATTTTAAGCATACTGAACAGGGGTAAAACTGTGTAAACATCCATATGTTGGGTTGCAACTTCCATCAGCCTTAAGCCTGCACAACGAATGGTGAAGAGCATTAGGAATTGGGAAGCCAACTAGTTTCTGGAAGGTAGCATAACTTTCACCCCAATAAAGAAGATCACAAATTCATAGAATCATAGAGATGGAAGAGTCCCCAATATCAATACTTTTCTCCACGGCAGGAAGGCACAATTGAAGCTTTCCTGTCAGATGGGCATCCAATCTCTGCTCAAATCAAATCAAATCAAAACATTTATTTCGGTCATTGACCAGCACAGGAAATAGTGTCACATTTCCATACAAACCTGGCATGTTTGGTACATTAAAAATATAAATATAAATATAACTACTAAAAACACAATATGGATGAAGGAGCAGAAGGGGAAACAGGGTGAAAACATACAATGCCCAGATCCATCACCAAATTGTAGATTCAGGGAAGAAGATTACTGGACACACAGTTGACTTTTGGAACTAGTCATTCCCTGGCGGATTTTGTATGCTGCTGCACAGAACTTTGCGACATTGTAGGTTGTAGCTGAATTAGTATCTGCAAGTAGCAGGGAGGTATAAAATTGTCCTGAATGGCCTGGGTGCTTGTCTATCAGAGGTAAGATAAGCCTGGCATGGGTATCCCTGTAGAACGGGCACTGAAGGAGCACATGTTCTATTGTTTCTACATGACCCGAGTCACAGGGGCAGAGTCTCTCTGGGAAAGGGATCTTCCGGTAGCGGCCTTCAAGTACAGCTGATGGGAGAGCGTGGCATCGGGCCAGGGTGAAAGCCCTTCGATGAATAGGAACCTCTAAGTTTGTTAAATATGCCATAGGGGAGGCAAGGTATCTGCTGTCTTCACTGATAAGGAAGGTTGGAGCCGAGGCCAGATCTAGTTGGCGCTCTGTGTCTGTGATACGTTGTTTAATAAGTGCTTTGGCTTGATTGTAATCCATAGCTAATAGTAGACCTGGAGAAAATCCCAACGAGGAGATTTTGGATGCTACCGCCTGCTTCCATGTGGATTGGAAGTCATCCTCCATGGTTAGTGGGGCAAGGCCAAGGGGTGCATGGGACAGTCTGAGCCAGAGGTTGAGTATGGCCACCCACACCCTGGCCTCCACTCTCATAAAACCCGTCTCTAGTTGCAGGGTGGCATTAGAAACGCATTTAGGTACCTGCAAGGCCGATCTCAGAAACTTGGACTGAACCAGCTCTAATGGGGCAAAACTGGGGAAGGGGCCCAGCTGAGCACCATACAAGAGTTGGGCTAATGACTTGGCTTCAAACAGCTTGAGCGCTGCTGGTGTGAAGTGGCCCCTTCTTGTCCTGAGATATTTAAGAATGGCAATTGAGCTCCCCTGCGCGGTGTTGGCTACTTGATCCCCATGAGCTCTTCTGCTACCATTAGATTGGAAAACTACACCTAGATATTTGAAGGATGTAACTTGTTCAATTTTATGACCATCTATGCTCCAAGAGTAAGTCCTGGGCCTATTAGCGAAAGCCATGATTTTGGTGTTATTGTAAAAAACTTCCAGAGAAGGAAGGCCGGACTCTTGGGAAAGTCTGTATTCCACTAGAGTTATAAGGCACAATCAAAACGCTCCTGACAGATGGCTGTCCAGCCTCTGCTTCAAAACCTCCAGAGAAGGTGACTCCACCCAATGTCAGGGCAGCAGCGCATCCCACTGCCAAACAGCTTTCACCATCAGGAAATTCTTCCTAATATTTAGGTGGAATGTCTTTATCCTGTAATTTGAATCCATAGCTCCATTGTGTTCTGTTTTCCAGGGAAGCAGAAAACAAGATGGATCCCTCCTCAATGTGACATCCTTTCCAATATTTAAACATGGCTTTCATATCACCTCCTTACTTTCTCTTCTCCAAGTTAAACATCCCCACTTCCCTAAGCTGCTCCTCAGTGGCATTCATGGTGTCCAGACCTTGGACCTTTTTGGTGGCTCTTCTCTAAAACCCTTCCATCTTCTCTATATCCTCGTTGAATTCTCTGACCTAGAACTAGACCCAGGGTTATTCCAAGTAAAGAGGTCTTTACTTGGAATAACCCTTGGAATAACCCTTGCCATTGGGTCAAAACCTCTCTCTGTGAAGATTGTGTGTGGGTTGCTGTGCACCAATCCCACACGTAACACAAATCTGCATACAGGGGTCTTTGAGGACAAACTAAAACCAAAAAAATCCCATGGTGATCAGTGAGTGATGATGCGGGCAGGGCTGTGAAATCTGGAAGCCCCTAGCTATGGACTGTCACATGAGCAATGGATATGGATTCACAAAATCATATAAATGGAAGACGTCACATGGGGCATCTAGTCTAGTCTCCTGCCATGCAGGAAAAGCACCATCAAAGCACCCCTGACAGATAGCCATCCTGGCTCTGTTTAAAAGCCTCCAAAGAAGGAGCTTCCACCAGACCTTGAAGCAGTGAGTTCCACCACTGAACAGTTCTTACAGGCAGGAAGTTCTTCCTAATGTTAAAGTTGCATCTTCTTTCCTGAAATTTGAACTCACTGCTCCAAGTGCTAGTCTCCAGATCAGCAGAAAACAATCCTGATTCAGTTGTTCTAACTCAAGGTCTGAGGCAGTTGAGCAATTTGGCAGCTGTATTCAGGAATGAGCAGCCTGATTCAGGACCCTGACCCCATACAAGGAGAGGGCTAGAAAAGGGGCCCTAAACATAGTCTGAAGGCCAAGTTGAAAATAATGTGGCATAAACACCGAAGAATTAACGTTGCAAACTGGAGGTCAGCTGTGACCAACTACAGTGCTATGAGTTTTAAACAGGCACAAATCCAGGGAAAATGGAAGAGTAGGAGAAAGGAATGAAAGAAATTGGAAAGGGAGGAAGAAGGCAATTGAAGAAAACCCTTGTAATGATTGCTGAAGAGGCACAAATCCAGAGAAGGAGGGAGGGAGGAGGGGAGGGAGGTGGACAGAGAAAGAGAGAGGAAGGAAGAAAGTAGTGAAAGAAGGTGGAAAGCACCTGAAGAAAACTCTTGCTATGACTGTTGACAAGGAAGGAATCTAAGGTGAAAGAAAGGAAGGAAGGAGTGAAAGAAGGAGCCAAAAAAGATGGGAAGGAAAAAGGAGGCAAGGAGGGAAGGAAGGAGTGAAGGGATGAGCCAAAGAAGGTGGGAAGGAAAGGAAGAGGAGGGAAGGAGACAAGGAAGGAGGTGCCTCTTGTCCTCCTATCTGGAAATCTATGTCCTCATTGTGACAGACCAAGAGGGAAAGAAGGAACCAAAGAAGGTGGGAAGAAAAGATAGAGGAGGGAGGGAAGGAAGGAAGAAAGGAAGAAAGGAGCAAAAGAAGGGGGGAAGGGAAGAGGGAAGGAGCCAAAGAAAAGGAGAAGGAAAGGAGGAGGAGGGAAGAACTTTATTTTTCTACCCCGCCTCCATCTCCTCGGAGGGACTCGGGGCAGCTTACATGGGGCCAAGCCCAAAGCAAAATACAATTAAAAGCAAAACAATAATAAATGAAAATGGCATAAAACAGCATAACAATAAGAACAAGCATCAAAAGCAACAGCAGACTAATTTTGGAGGGTGGGGGGGACGAGGACCACTATGTGAACTGGTTACAGATAAGGTGACTCAATAAAGTGGACAGTAATGTATAATAGTATAGGAAATAGCATGGAAACAGAGAAATTTAACAGGATCAATGTATTAAGGATATGCATTATACTGTAATATAGGGATTCAGAATCAGGTCATGGAATATTATAATGTAATGTAATGCAATATAATAATATATATAGTATGATATTGTAATTGTATATTTATATTACATGTAATATTACTAATAATATTACAATATAGTGGTACGGTGCAATATAGCAATGTTTAATGCTGATATTGTACTATGCTAGTAATACAGGGTGAGGCAGCATAACTTCCTTTTTAAAAATGCATGCCATTCAGTCGGTTGAACACGTAGCGGAGCGCTAGTGGTCTCGTTCGAGAGGCGGGAGTATAAAGTTTTGTCCTGACACAGTTCAATCGCCATCATGCGTTGGAACAGTGAGGAGTGTGCTTTTGCCGTTGAGACCTACTTTTCAAGCGGATTTGAAGTGGCCGACCTGCTCTCCAGATTTGGCCCCTTGTGATTTTTTTCTATGGGGTTTTTAGAAATCCCATGTTTCTGTGAACCGTCCAAGGACCCTACAAGATTTGAAGACCAACATCCAGGAAGAAATTGCCAACATAACGCCTGCTATGCTGGCAAGAGTCATGACAAATGCCAGAAAGCGGTTTACTCAGTGTATGGAGAATGGGGGATGTCACCTACTTTATTTGATCTTCAAAACTACATAAAACAAAACTTTAGGTATACGCCTACATTATAAAAAAAAAATTATGATTCATACAATGGGTTTTATTAAGTTTTGAAAAAAGGAAGTTATGCTGCCTCACCCTGTATAATATATTGTATCTAATATATACGTTGTAAGCCGCTCTGAATCCCCTTTGGGGTGAGAAGGGCGGCATATAAATGTTGTAGATAAATAAATAAGTCATGATATAAGTCATTTATCATAGGAGTCGTCAGTCGAATGCACAACAAAACATCCATGTCTTTAATTCCTTACGGAATGTGGCCCAGTGTACCTGTCCAAACGTCTCTCCTTCTACATCCCACCTCAGAATTTAAGATCCTCTGGGGAGGCCCTGCTCTCGGCCCCACCTTTATCACAAGTGAGACTGGTGGGGATGAGGGACAGGGCCTTCTCGGTGGTGGCCCCTCGCCTGTGGAATTCGCTCCCCGGGGATATTAGGGCATCAACATCCCTCCTCTCTTTCAGAAGGAAGTTAAAAACTTGGATTTGGGACTAGGCTTTTGGGTAAGCTGGCAGATGGATAAAGGAAAATGACGACTGGAATAGGAAAGGTTATGATAATGCTGGATGGACTACGGATTTGTGAATTGGTGAACGTTGACCACAAGATTGGCTTGTTACTGCTGTTACTGCTGTTAGTGTATTAATTTGATTGTTTTAATCAGTTATAAGTGTTGTTGCTATATTACAAATTGTATATTGTATTTTGTGAATGTTTGGCATCGAATTTGTGCCTTTTTGTAAGCTGCCCTGAGGGTTGAGAAGGGGGTTGAGAAGGGCGGGGTACAAGCACTCCAAATAAATAAATAGGGAGGGGGCCAGCCTCATTTCCCTGGGGAGAGAGTTCCAGAGACGAGGGGCCACCACTGAGAATGCCCTTTCCCTTGTCTCCACCAGCCGCACCTGAGATAGGGGCGGGAGCGAAAGAAGAGCATCTCCGGAAGATCTTAAGTTAAAAACTTGGATTTGGGACCAGGCTTTTGGGTAAGCTGGCAGATGGATAAAGGAAATGACGACTAGAATAGGAAAGGTTACGATAATGCTGGATGGACTACGGATTTGTGAATTGGCAAACGTTGACCACAAGATTGGCTTGTTATTGCTGTTACTGCTGTTAGTGTATTAATTTGATTGTTTTAATCAGTTATAAGTGTTGTTGTAATATTGCAAATTGTATATTGTATTTTGTGAATGTTCGGCATCGAATTTGTGCCATTTTGTAAGCCGCCCTGAGTCCCCCCTAGGGGGTTGAGAAGGGCGGGGTAGAAGTACTTGAAATAAATAAATAAATAAATAAATAGGGAGGGGGCCACCCTCACTTCCCTGGGGAGAGAGTTCCAGAGATGAGGGGGCCACCACTGAGAATGCCCTTTCCCTTGTCTCCACCAGCCACACCTGAGATAGGGGCGGGAGCGAGAGAAGAGCATCCCCGGAAGATCTTAAGGATTGCGTGGGCTCATAGAGGAGGATGCGGTCTCGAAGATAGGCAGGCCCTGAACCTGTAGGCTGTGAGGAATTGTGGGAGTTGAAGTCCAAAATACCTGGAGGGCTCAAGCTGGCCCAGGCCTGGCCTATGATGATGCTGATGATGGAACACTAGAGTCTTATTGATGCAACCTATTGATACATACAAAATAACAGTAGTAGTAGTAGTAGTAGTAGTAGTAGTAAACAGTAGCCCTGCGGCCCTGACCAGTTCGAAGGGGTTGCTGAGCTGCTGCCCTTTCCTCCTCCGCCTCCGCCCGGCGCCCCCTCTTCCTTCCTCCTCTTCCTCCTCCTCCTCTTCCTCTCTCCTTCCTTCTCCTTCTCCTCCTTCGGCCTCTTCCTCCGGCAGCGCCTGGCCCCGCGACTCCCCCCTCAGCCGCCTCAAGGCCCGCCGCGACATCACTTCAGCTCCAGCCCGAGCCAGAAAAGGCAGCGGACCGGAAGCGGCCTCCGAGAGGACCCGAAAGAGAACAGGTGGAAAAAAGGGCACTTTCCGGCTCCTCCTCCCGCCTTCTGAGCAAAGCGCATGCGCGAAAAGACGGGCCGCTCTCCCATTGGCTGCCCTGAAGAAGGCCTTGTTTTGGCCAGCAGGAGATTTTGTACACATGCGCAGAAGGGATTTGGCTTGCCTTTTTAGTCTCAGTGGGAGAGTCATAGACATTTTAAAAATGTTTATTGTATTATTGTGTGTCACAATTGTCACAGCTTGTCTCCTGTGCTGTGCTTTTTAATTTGTCGTGTCAGGGCAACCAGTCAATTGTATTACATTTCTAACAGAACAAAGCAAACAAACAGACAAAATACAAAATTTGTGAGTTTGGTAGTTGGTTAAATGTCCTTTGACCAGTATCTGGCCACTTGGATTGCCTCTGGTGTTGCTGCAAAAGGTCCTCCATTGTGCATGTGGCAGGGCTCAGGGTGCATTGCAGCAGGTGGTCAGTGTGTCATCGAGGGCATCGGAGACTTTCAAATTGGTCTGACCCGCAGCGGAGAGTTCCGCAGTTCCTGGAAGCCATAATTGGGACAAACTGATGAAATGTGCCCCAACAGACAGCTCAGCTGGGAGATATGCCCAGTTAAATGCGCAATTCCAGAGGTTAGCCAGAAGAGATAAGGAACTATTTTTAAATAAGCAATGCATGGAAGTGGAAGAAGACAACAGAATAGGAAGGACAAGAGACCTCTTCCAGAAAATTAGAAACATTGGAGGTAAATTTCAGGCAAAAATTGGTATGATAAGAAACAAAGATGGCAGGGACCTAACAGAAGCTGAAGAGATCAAGAGAAGGTGGCGAGACTATACAGAAGATCTGTATAGGAAAGATAATAATATCGAGGATAGTTTTGATGGTGTGGTGAATGAATTAGAACCAGACATCCTGAGGAGTGAGGTTGAATGGGCCTTAAGAAGCATGCTAACAACAAGGCAGCAGGAGACGACGGGATCCCAGCTGAACTGTTTAAAATCTTAAAAGATGATGCTGTCAAGGTGATGCATGCCATATGCCAGCAAATATGGAAAACATAAGAATGGCCATCAGACTGGAAAAAATCAACTTATATCCCCATACCAAAAAAGGGAAATGCGAAAGACTGCTCAAACTTCCGTACAGTGGCCCTTATTTCTCATGCCAGTAAGGTAATGCTCAAGATCCTGCAAGGAAGACTCCAGCAATACATGGAGCGAGAGTTGCCAGATGTTCAAGCTGGGTTTAGAAAAGGCAGAGGAACGGGAGACCAGATTGCCAATATCCGCTGGATAATGGAGAAAGGCAGGGAGTTTCAGAAAAACATCTATTTCTGCTTCATTGACTATTCTAAAGCCTTTGACTGTGTGGATCATAATAAATTGTGGCAAGTTCTTGGTGGGATGGGCATCCCAAGCCACCTTGTCTCTCTCCTGAGGAACCTGTACAAGGACCACGTAGCAACAGTAAGAACTGACCACGGAACAACAGACTGGTTCAAGATTGGGAAAGGCGTACGGCAAGGCTGCATACTCTCACCCAACCTTTTTAACTTGTATGCAGAACACATCATGCGATGTGCAGGGATTGACAAATGCATGGCTGGGGTTAAAATTGCTGGAAGAAACATTAACAACCTTAGATATGCAGATGATACCACTTTGATGGCTGAAAGTGAGGAGGAGGAGCCTTCTAACCAAGGTGAAAGAAGAAAGCGCAAAAGCTGGGTTGCAGCTAAACATAAAAAAACCAAGATTATGGCAACAAGAATGATTGACAACTGGAATAGAGGGAGAAAATGTGGAGGCCGTGACAGACTTTGTATTTCTAGGTGCAAAGATTACTGCAGATGCAGACTGTGGCCAGGAAATCAGAAGACGCTTACTTCTTTGGAGGAGAGCAATGTCCAATCTCGATAAAATAGTAAAGAGTAGAGACATCACACTGGCAACAAAGATCCGCCTAGTCAAAGCCATGGTATTCCCTGTAGTAACCTACAGATGTGAGAGCTGGACCTTAGGGAAGGCTGAATGAAGGAAGATAGATGCTTTTGAACTGTGGTGTTGGAGAAAAAGTTCTGAGAGTGCCTTGGACTGCGAGATGATCCAACCACTCCATACTTCAGGAAGTAAAGCCCGACTGCTCATTGGAGGGAAGGATAGTAGAGCCAAGTTGAAGTACTTTGGGCACATCATGAGGAGACAGCAACGCCTAGAGAAGACAATTATGCTGGGGAAAGTAGAAGGAAAAAGGAAGAGGGGCCGACCAAGGGCAAGATGGATGGATGGCATCCTTGAAGTGACTGGACTAACCTTGAAGGAGCTGGGGGTAGTGACGGCCGACAGGGAGCTCTGGCGTGGGCTGGTCCATGAGGTTACGAAGAGTCGGAGACAAATGAACGAATGAACAACAACATATTATAATTATATATTTATATTACATGTAATATTACTAATAATATTACAATATAATGATATAGTACAATAGAGTAACATTTAATACTCGAGTCATCGAGTCATCAGCAACCAGTCAATTATATTACATTTCTAACAGAACAAAGCAAACAAACAGACAAAATACAAAAATACAGAATACAATATTTGCGAGTTTGGTAGTTGATTAAATGTCCTTTGACCAGTATCTGGCCACTTGGAGTGCTTCTGGTGTTTCTGCAAGAAGGTCCTCCATTGTGCGTGTAGCAGGGCTCAGGTTGCATTGCAGTAGGTGGTCTGTAATTTGCTCTTCTCCACACTCGCATGTCGAGGACTCCACTTTGTGGCCCCATTTCTGAAGGTTGGCTCTGCATCTCGTGGTGCCAGAGCGCAGTCTGTTCAGCGCCTTCCAAATCGCCCAGTTTCCTGTATGCCCAGGGGGGAGTCTCTCATTTGGTATCAGCCATTGGTTGAGGTTCTGGGTTTGAGCTCCCACTTTTGGACTCTCGCTTGCTGAGGTGTTCCAGCAAATGTCTCTGTAGATCTTAGAAAACTATTTCTTGATTTAAGTCATTGACGTGCTGGCTGATACCCAAACAAGGGATGAGCTGGAGATGTCTTTGCCTTGGTCCTCTCACTATTGGCTGCTACTTCCCGGCAGATTTCAGGTGGTGCAATACTGGCTAAACAGTGTAATTTCTCCAGTGGTGTAGGGCACAGACACCCCGTGATAATGCAGCATGTTTCATTAAGAGCCACATCCACTGTTTTAGCGTGGTGAGATGTGTTCCACACTGGGCATGCATATTCAGCAGCTGAGTAGCATAGCGCAAGGGCAGATGTCTTCACTGTGTCTGGTTGTGATCCCCAGGTTGTGCCAGTCAGCTTTCGTATGATATTGTTTCTAGTACCCACTTTTTGCTTGATGTTAATACCCATGCTGGAATACCCCAGCAAGCGAGAGTCCAAAAGTGGCAGGCTCAAACCCAGAACCTCAATCAGTGGCTGATACCAAATGAGAGACTCCCCCCTGGGCACAGAGAAGATTGGGTGACTGAAGGTGCTGAACAGACTGCGCTCTGGCACCACAAGATGCAGAGCCAATCTTAAGAAATGGCGCTACAAAGTGGAATCCACGACATGCGAGTGTGGAGAAGAGCAAACCACTGACCACCTACAGCAATGCAACCAGAGCCCTGCCACATGCACGATGGAGGACCTTCTTGCAGCAACACCAGAGGCACTCCAAGTGGCCAGATACTGGTCAAAGGACATTTAATCAACTACCAAGCTTGCAAACTTTGTGTTTTGTCTGTCTGTTTGTTTGTTTTGTTAAAAATGTAATACAACTGTCTGGTTGCTCCTGACACGATAAATAAAAATACACCATTGTTCTCCCACTTTACATGTACAAGGAAAAATACCCTTCTATATTTTTCCTCTTATTTTTCTTTTGACCCCTCAATCCTTTATCTTCCCTTTCTACCCTTAATAAAAATACATTGGAAAAAAATATTACTTTGTGTTATCAAAGGCTTCCAACGCCAATCACTGGGTTGGAGTTTGTTTTCCGGGTTCTCTGGCCATTCTCTCCTGGCGTTGTGAGATCCAAAAACCTTTGAGGATGCCTGCCATAGATGTGGGTGAAACATCAGGAGAGAATGCTTTCTACAGATGGCACCTAACACCAGATAAGATAGCCAAATTTAGCAGAGGAAAAATCAAAGACACATGTTGGAAATGTGGAAAACAGAAAGGAAATTACATCCACATGTGGTGGAAGTGCAGCAGGATAAAAAGTTTATGGTACGAGATCAACAAAATAACAGAATTAATACTCAAAGAGAAAGTAGAATTCAAACCAGAGGCAATGTTATTGGGAATCACAGACTCAATCAAAGATAAAAATTCGGACAAGCTGTTTTTTTATTTTCTTACAGCTGCAAGAACAGTGATAGTCAGAGTCTGGAAATCCAAGGAAACCCCCACTGTGGAGCAATGGCTGCTAAAAATATGGGACATAATGAATATGGACATACTAACTCAAAAAAAATCTCAAAACGTACCGAAACCACCCAAGACCAACTGGACAAACTTTATAGAATATATCAAAGGGTTGAACAACGAAATTTATATTAGCATTGTACAATAACGAAACTCAAAGGAACATCAATAAGAAACCGACGAAAAAGTGACAAACAATATAAGGGACAAACGTACGGTCCAATTTCTAATAATCTGCCCAGGATTTCCTGGAAGTACTTTTAAGGGCACTCTCGGTTATGGTAACGGTGGTGGGTATGGTTATAGCTATAGTTTCACCGAATTCCTCCCCCCCTCTATTGCTTGTTTTTCTCTTCTTTTTTTTCCTTCTTTTTTTCTTCTTTTTCTTTTCTTTTCTTTCTTCTCTTTTCTTTTCTGTTTTCTTTCTTTTGCTTTTCTCTCTTTCGTCTTCCCTTTCCCGCCGCCACAGGGCGACCTACAATTCCAAATCAACATGTTGCCAACTTTAACGATAAATATTGCGCCCTTCCTCCCAATGTACCTTTCCCCTTCTATTTTCTATTTAACTTAATAATCCTTTCTCTTTCTATCCGCTCCTCCAAGAGCAGCATATTCTAAATAAAAAAAAATTTATAAAAGGAGAGAATGCTTCTGAAACATGGTCAGACATCCCGGAAAACTCACAGCAACCCAAATATTACTCTAGTAAAAGAAAAAAGGGCAACACCATCAGATTTGGTTCACTTTAAATTTTATTTACAATTGTTTACAGTGCAGGCGGCATATAAAACATTGGCTGCTGGGAGGACTTCTAAGGAAGAGGGAGGCAAGGAGGCCTCTTCTCCTTCCATCTAACGGTGGATTGTTTCAGGGCCCATAAGGCATGTGTTAAAGTCCTGAGGCGACAAAAACGGCGAGATGCTGGGCAAGCAGATTGGCACGAACAACAATAGAACGAGATGTAGCTGCGGCAAAAAGAGCATTGGTGGCCCATAGAGCCAGATTTCCCACCTTTTTCCTTTGGAGTCTGACCTGGGGAGAGCATGGGCACAGTTTTTTTTTATAGAGCATGGGCAGAGGGGCTAGGGCCCAAGGGAGGGAAGGAAGGAAGATGGGACTTTGAACAAAGTCTATATATGCCAATTAAAGGAGAATTGCAACCCACAAAGAAATGCAGCCCATTTAAAACACTCTCCTATTCTTCCTCTCCTCCTTTTCCATAGAGCATGTGCAGAGGGCTGGGACGCAAGGGAGGGAAGACCGAAGCAAGTGAAGCTCCAGCAGCGGATCCGTGGATAATAAATATAGAGTGTCTATAGATATGTATATATATACACGGACATATACACAGATGCAGGCAGGTGGGGATGATGGGTGTCGGAGTGGATGCAAGGAGGCTAAAAAGCGGAGAGTTTGGGGCTTCCTTTCCAACCCCAAAAGGGGATTTGACTCCTTTCCCTCTCTGGTGCATTGGAGACACAGCACAAGCAGAGAGGAGAATGATGGGTGTCGGAGTGGATGCAAAGAAGCCAGAAAGCGGAGACCTTGGTGCTTCCTCTCAAGCCCCAAAAGGGACTCCCTATTCCTCTTTGGTGCCTCGCAGGCAGAGTGCTCATTCCCCAAAGGCTTGGGGACGATGGGGGCCGTGGTGTCAGGGGATGTAGAGGGACTGGGTCTTGCGGCCCCTCCGGCCGGGCATCGTGGTGTTGAGGATGTCCACGCTCTTGCGGCTGGAGCTGACCACGTCTGTGACGAAGCCGGAGCAGTCAGAGCAGACGTCCTTGAGCACCGATCCATGGGCATAAATGTAGGGGAACTCCTCCTCCACGCTGCGCCAGCGGGTGCCCTGCAAGGGGCTGCAAAAGGAGAGGCATCAGAGTTATGCACTGTGCTTCTCTGAATGACCATCTGTCAGGAGGGATTGGATTGTGCCTGCCTGGCAGAAGGGGGTTGGACTGGATAACCTTTGTAGTTCCTTCCAACTCCAAAGTGCTATCATCCTCATCATCTTTTATTATAATGATGATAATGGACACTCCTTCTCTGAATTGCCATCTGTCAGAAGGGTTTGGATTGTGCCTTCCTGCCAGTTAGGAGGGGGTTGGACTGGATGGCCTTTGGGGTGCCTTCCAACTAAGAGGTGCAATCATCATCTTTCATAATGAGGATGATGATGGACTGTCCTTCTCTGAATGGCCATCTGTTGGGAGCTATTTAATTGTGTCTTCCTGTCTGATAGGAAGGGATTAGACTGGATGATCTTTGTGGTCCCTTCAATCAGTGCTATCATCATCTTTCATAATGATGATGATGATGATGATGATGTTCCAGGATGCTATCATAATCTTTCATGATGATGATGGACTGTCCTTCTCTGTGTGGCCATCTGTCGGGAGGGTTTGAATTGTGCTTTCCTGTCCGATAGGAGGGAGGTGGAAGTAGATGACCTTTGGGGTCTGTTCCAACTCAGAGGTACTATAATCATCATCATATTTCATAATGATGATAATGATGTACTGTCCTTCTCTGAATGGCCATCCGTCGGGAGGAATTGAATTGTGTCTTCCTGTCTGATAGGAGGGGGTTAGACTGGATGACCTTTGTGGTCTCTTCCAACAGTGCTATCATCATCATCTTTCATAATGATGATGATGATGATGATGATGATGATGCTCCAGGATGCTATCATAATCTTTCATGATGATGATGGACTCCTTCTCTGGAGATTTTCAATCAGAGGCTAGATAGCCATCTGTTGGGAGGGCTTGGATTGAGCATTCCTGATTGAGATTGTTTTTTATTTTATCTGATGTTTTTAACTGGTTGTGTCCTATCTGTAATTTTTGGGCTTGTCCCTTGTAAGCCGCCTCGCATTCTTTTGTGGAGATGGTTGGCAGGGTATAAAAATAAAGTTGTTATTATTATTATTATTATTATTATTATTATTATTATTATTATTATTTTATATTGTGATTGTTTTATATTTTATCTGGTGTTTTTAATTGGTTGTGTTCTATCTGTAATTTTTGGGCTTGTCCCTTGTAAGCCGTCTCGTGGTTCCTTTGGGGAGATGGTTGGCATTATTATTATTATTATTATTATTATTATTATTATTATTATATATTGTGATTGTTTTATATTTTAGCTGATGTTTTTAATTGGTTGTGTCCTATCTGTAATTTTTGAGCTTGCCCCTTGTAAGCCGCCTCGCATTCCTTTGGGGAGATGGTTGGCAGGGTACAAAAATAAAGTTATTATTATTATTATTATTATTACTAATATATTCTTATATGGCAAAGGGGCTGGACTGGGTGGGCCCTGGTGTCTCTTCCAACTTAGGATTCTATCACATGAATCAACAGTGTGATGTACCAGCTAAAAAGGCCATTGTGATGGTGCCTTCCTGCCTGGAAGGGAGAGGTTAGACTAGATGGCCTTTGGGGTCCCTTCCAACTCTAGCAAACCTTGTTGGTTTGCTGCCACTTACTGGAAAGTCTCCCTCTTCTGGAAAGGGGGTGCCTTGGGCCCCAATGAACCCGGCAGGGTCTCGAAGCCCAAGGCATAGACTGGGATGTGGGCGAGCTTCTTGGAAGGCATCTTGATCTAAAGGCAAACAAGAAGAGAAGAGGCTTCAGAAGAGGAGGGAGCAAGGGAAAGAATTGGGGCAAGCAAGAGGGAAAGGGACTGCCTCTTACCTTCAGGCTGCAGGAGCCACAGACAGACCTGAAAGCAATAGAGGAAAGGAAGATTGGGGATGGGATAATAAGTGCCTTAGCCCAGCCCCACACCTGTCAATCCAAAGCAGGCCCCGCCCCTGACTCACCTTTTGCAGAAGAAGCAGGTGGGGGGCCAGGAGAAGAGGGCAAACTTGGTCTTGCAGCAGCAACAGATCTAATGCAGAAGGAAAGAAAGAGGAAGAAGATCCAGAGCATTGCAAGGTGCATCCACACATAGGATTGGGTGCAGTTTGTCACTGCACTCAAGGCAATGGAATCCTGGGAGTTGTGGCTTGGCAAGGTCAAGTGAAAACTACACCTCCCAGGATTCCATAGTGCTGAGCCATGGTAGTTCAAGTGGTACCAAACTGCATTCATTCTATAGTGTGGATGCACTATATCCGATATGCCAAATTATTATTATTATTATTATTATTATTATTATTATTATTATTATTATTATTTTAAACACAACATGATTAGTACACAGCAAACAAGATCACTATGCTGGTTGTTATATTCACAGGGGCGGCTCAACCCATTACGCAAAGTAAGCATTTACAGTATAGTTGATTTTGCCCAGGGGCGCTCTTGAGGTGCTCTTGGGGGAAAATAGACCTTGACATATGCGAGTTGTAGTTACTGGGATGTATAGTTCACCTACAATCAAAGAGCATTCTGAACTCCACCAATGATGGAATTGAACCAAATATGGCACACAGAACTCCCACGACGAACAGAAAATATATATTAGGGATTGATTGGGGGGGCGGGGGCGGGCAAAATACTGTTTGCTTACCGTTGAAAATTACCTAGGGCAGCCTCTGTATATTCGATCACACACTGGACACTTCCCAAGCGTCTAAGACTATGTGATGTATCAACAAATAATGTGTGCAGATCCGTATAGGATGGCATTTGCAGCTGACAGATGATAATTTTGTCAGCGCCAATTGTGTTTACATGCAGGCCAAGGCCTTTAGGCACTGGACCCAGTGTGCCAATCACTACTGGGACCACCATGACTGGATTGTGCCACGGCCTTTGCAGTTCGATCTTCAAATCATTGTATCGTGTCAGCTTTTCTAGTTGTTTCTCTTCAATTCTACTGTTGCCTGGAATTGAGACATTGACAATCCATACTTTGTTTTTTAACATGATTGTGATGTCAGGAGTATTGTCCTCCAAAACTCTGTCAGTCTGAATCCGGAAGTCCCAGAGTAGTTTGATGTGTTCATTTTCTGTAAATTTTTCCGGCTTGTGATCCCACCAGTTCTTTGTCGCAGGCAGATGATGTTTGTGGCACAAGTTCCAGTGAATCATCTAAACAACAGTGTTATGCCTCTGCTTGTGGTCTGTCTGCGTGATCTTCTTTTCAATTCTGGCTTGTTCTTGGGCTACAAGAATCAGGCCCTCCGTCTCCTTTTTTGAAGTTCAATTTGTGAGCCACATCCATGTCTTTTCTTTGTCAATTTTGCTCTCAATTTTTCCCAGGAACTGTCCATGGAGAGCCTTCTTTTGCCAGTTTTCTCTTCTGCTCTGGATTGTATTTTTACGGTAGTCCCTCTTTGTCTTTTGCACTTGAAGCGGTTTACTACTATTGACTTCCATCAATGTTGGTTCTTGACTGCCTTTGACATAATCTGCCAGTGCAGCATTATTATTATTATTATTATTATTATTATTATTATTATTATTATTTAGGAACCTTTGGAAAGAGACATTGGACATCCATGAAAAACAGAAGTGGTAAAAGTACTAGTAGTTATTATTATTGTTTTTGTTATTTTAGGAACTTTTCAAAAGATGGGCAGTTGTTGTTTTTGTTATTATTTTACTGACATAAAAACACAGTATGTCACAGCAAACGAGATCTATATCCTGGATTTCGTATCACAAAACCACAAGTCGGACACTTCCCAAGCATCTAGGACTGTGTGATATATTTTCAAATGATGCATGCAGATCCAAGTCAGGTGGCTTTTTGCAGTTGACAGATTGTGATTTTGTCAATGTTTATTGTTTCCAAATGACGGCTGAGATCTTTTGGCACAGCACCCAGCGTGCTGATGATCATTGGGACCACCTGTACAGGTTTATGCCAGAGCCTTTGCAGTTTGATGATGATGATGATGATGATGATGATTATTATTATTATTAAGGAACCTTTAGAAAAGGACATTGGTCACCTAAGAATAGAAGTAGTAGTAGTACTAGTAGTAGTACTACTACTAGTACTAGTATCCCGCATTTATCTCTTGATTGAGGAGCAAAGAGGATCCATTTCTGGCCAAATGCCCCTTTAGCTCACCTTGCCCTTCTTCATGCTGCTGTAGAGCTCCTTGCTGTGCTGGAACTTCTCCATCTCGGCCTTGACCAGCACCCGTCGGACGTTGACCATCTCCTCCACGGTCAGGGCCAGGCTCTCCACTGGGTGACTGAACTCTTGCTGCAGAGGAGAAAAGGACCATAGGATTGGAAGGGTCCCTAGAGGTCATCCAGTCTACCCCTCCACTCATCCAGACTGGAGAAGTTGTTAAAGCAATGTTTAAAAGTCTATTTCCGTCTGTTCTGGAACTTTTAGAATCCAATTATTCTTTGAAGGATAGTTCTTAATTTTTCCCTCGCTGCACATTAAGTTATCTTGCTACTATAATTCTATAGCCAAACTCAGCTACTTACTAGCCACAAGTATTTCGTGCTGGCCTCTGGAGGAGGAGGTCCCGATCCAGCCTCGGACTTTTCATCCACGGAGCTGAGGAAGCCCTGCTTGGCCGGATAGGGACTGGCACTGCAAGGAACTGGGTGGTAGCTGGCCGGGACGGACCCTGCAAGGGACAGAACATTGACACCCTATGGTCAGTGCCAACTGAGAAATAATGCAACTTGGGCAAATGATTTTGCATGCAATGAATTACCATATTGACTCGTGTCTAATCTGCCATCAAATCTCATGCACACGTCAAATTTCAAAACCCTGAAACTGAAAAAAAGGATCTCCTGCCTAATGTAGTTAGCAGTGGCAAAAAGGTGTCCTCTTTATAATTTGGCTGAAAAAGCTGCACATGATAGTTGTTCCCTGCTCAGGATCCTTTCTTTAAAAACAGAAGTGCCACAGCACCAAAGCTTCAAGCAATGAAAAAGAAGACCTTTTATAATATGCACATATTAAATCAGTTATATATGCACACACACATATATATTTCAGATTGTTTACCTTTATATATTATATTATATTAATTATATTAATTATATTAATTATATTATATTATATTATATTATATTATATTATATTATATTATATTATATTATATTATATTATATTATATTATACCATGTTATATTATTTTTATATAAAAAGGTAAAGGTTGTCCCCTGATATTAAGTCTAGTCGTGTCCGACTCTGGGGGTCAGTGCTCATCTCCATTTCTAAGCCAAAGAGCCGGCATTGTCCGTAGACACTTCCAAGGTCATGTGGCCGTCTGACTGCATGGAGAACTGTTACCTTCCAGCTAAAGTGGTACCAACTGATCTACATTTGCATGTATTCAAACTACTAGGTTGGCAAAAGCTGGGCCTAACAGTGGGAGCTCACCCCGCTCCTTCGATTTGAACGGACAACCTTTTGGTCAGTAAGTTCAGCAGCTCAGCGGTTTAACCCTCTGTGCCACCAGGGAGCCTTATTTGTATACACACATACATATTTTAAATTGTCCATTTTAAATTATATACATATAATATAAAAATCCATATTTTAGGTTGTCCCTTTTACATTCTATATTATAGGCACATATATTATTTATACATACACACACCATATTTTAGACCAGTGTTTCTCAACTGGACAGTGCATAGTGCTGCTAGAAAGGGACTGTGTCCAATTCTGGACACCACAATTCAAGAGAGATATTGACAAGCTGGAATGTGTCCAGAACAGGGTGACTAAAATGATCAAGGGTCTGGAGAACAAGCCCAATGAGGAGCTGCTTGAGGAGCTGAGCATGTTTAGCCTGAAGAAGAGAAGGATGAGAGGAGATATGATAGCGATGTATAAATATGTGAGAGGAAGCCACAGGGAGGAGGGAGCGAGTTTGTTTACTGCTTCCATGGAGATTAGGACAAGGAACAATGGCTTCAAACTACAGGAGAGGAGATTCTATCTGAACATGAGGAAGAACTTCCTGACTGTGAGAGCCGTTCAGCAGTGGAACTCTCTGCCCCGGAGTGTGGTGGAGGCTCCTTCTTTGGAAGCTCTTAAACAGAGGCTGGATGGCCATCTGTCAGGGGTGATTTGAATGCAATATTCCTGCTTCTTGGCAGGAGGTTGGACTGGATGGCTCATGAGGTCTCTTCCAACTCTTTGATTCTATGATTCTGTGACTATAACCAATTGTTGAGCTTGGCCAATACATCCTGTTCACCTATGAACATGGCAATTCCATTCATACAGGGAAACACAGCCTTTTATATTGCAGTGCTCACTAACACCTCTTACAGGAGAGCCGACATGCTGGCTAGATTTAATATCATGCCATCTCCGCTCCATAGAGGAAGACTCAACTGTCTACCAAGCAATAAGAGGCTTTGTCCCTGTAGCACAGGACAGCTGGATTCCATCCTGCATATTTGTCTGCACTGCCCACTTTACCAGGATCTAAGATTTAGCTTACTAACACATGTTATAGATTCCTTGAAAAACTACAGCGACTCAAAGCAATTATGCTTTTAAATTGTCAAAATTTTAATTGCTGCCTTTCAGTGGCAAGATTCCTGAATGAAGCCTGTAAACTGAATGTGTAGCAAACGTGAAGTTCCCTTTTCTATTATTTGTACTGTATTTTATTCCTCTTTGCTATGTATATGCCAATAAAGGCTTACTGGATTGGAATTGTACTTCTGCCATGATGCTACATTTCCAAAGTTGGGGGACGTTGCTTGAAAGTAAAAGTGAGCACGGAAATGCAGCTTTGCTCCATTCCAGGCCACTCTTTGCAACCAACATGGAGAGAGAACACATGCAATAAATCATGCTCTGGTCATTTTGGAAAGAGAGAAAAGGGGCAGATTGGGGTGGATGGGGAACTTGCCCGGGTTCTGGATGTTGTTCCATGCATCGGAAGGGGTACCTGAGCGGGGCCGGTGTTCGGACCCGTTGTGTCCCGCATTCTCTGCATCCGGAGCATTGCTCTGGCTCTCGCTCTGGAACTGGGCCAGGTCTTGCTCCGAAAAAGAGCGGTCACGCTTCAGTCCCAGATTGAGCCCTGGACCTTGCAAAGCCTCCGAACTGGGAGAGTCCTCCTCCTGCAGAGAGACAGGGAGAGATTTGAGGGTGCATCTACACTGCAGAATTAATGCACTTTGACACCATTTTCACTGCTTTATCAGACATGGGCCGACTTCAGCCCTCCCTCCAGGTGTTTTGGACTTCAACTTCCACATTTCCTAACAGCCGGTAGGAAATGTGGAAGTTGAAGTCCAAAAGACCTGGAGGGAGGGCCGAAGTTGGCCCATGCCTGTCCCAAACCCAAACCCTCCCCTCTTCTTTGTGCTCACTTCCGAGGTGAGCATCTCCTCCATCTCAGCCAGCGTTGGAGCTTTCAGCAGAACCCGGGGCCTTTGGCGCTGCTGAAACGGGGTCCCAGAGTCCGAGGCAGAGAGGTTGATGCAGGACGTGGACTTGGCGTCACCAGCATAGGCCTTCACCAGGCAAGGCACGGATCCGAACCCTAGATGACAGAGAAGGGGAAAGGCAATGCTTTGCACATGCTTTGCTCCTCCGAGTGCACCTATACCAGGCCTGCACAACTTGGCAAGAGGTTAAGGGGAGGAAATTAAATAGGGCTCAGTCTCTTGGTGACCACAAATACATCTATTAACACTGATTAATTAGGATTGTTGTTGTGTGCCTTCAAGAAAGGAGTAAGGGAACCCCATCATGGCGTCTTCTCGTCAAGATTTATTCAAAGGGGATTGATTGGGTTTTGTCTCCCGCTGACGAAGCTGAGAGAGTGCAACTTGCCTAAAGGCACCCAGTAGGTTCAATGTTCATGCCACTACACCATGCTTTCTGAATTCCTTCTTCCTTCCCTCTCTGATCCCTACTGCTCTTTTCTTTCCTCTTTTTCTCCCTCCCTGAAGAATGTTATGAAGAAATCAAGTTGTCTTAATTGCTGTGAATTTGTACAGTTCAAACACGAATTACAAAGTTAATGTAGAATGTAAGGAACTTGATTGTTACAGATTATTGTAAATGAAAACATCTTCAATGTATAATGTCCCTCTCTTTCTCCTCCCGCCCTTCTTCCCTTTGTTTTTTCTTTCTCCCCTCTTTTCTGCCTCCTTCCCCCTCCCTCCCTCCCTCCCTTCTATCCATCCTTCCTTTATCCTTTTATCCTTTCCTTCTCCTTCCTTCCTTCTATTTCCTCCCCTCCCTTTCCTTCCTTCCTTCCCTTCCTCCTTCCTTCCCCTTTCTTCCTTTCTTTCTGGTCCCTCCTTCCTGTCCTTCTCCTTCCTGCTTTCCTTCCCTCCTTCCTCCCCTCTCCTTCCTTCCTCTTCCTTCCTTCCTCTCTCTTCCTTCCTTCTCTTCCCTCCCTCCCTCCCTCTCCTTCCTTTCTGCCTTGCTTCTCTCGCCTTCCTTCTCTCTCCTTCCTTCCCTCTTTCCTTCCCTTACCTTCCTTCCTTCTCTTCCTTCCTTCCACATGGAAGATGAAAGTCCATGTGAAACTACAGTTCATTGCTTCTGCTTCATCCAGGGCCCTGGGCTCAGATTTTGGGTGAACCTTTGGGTCACTGTCCCTGATTGACCTTCCTGTGGCCCAATGGACCCACCTTTCTGGTTCTGGAACCGCTCTTCAACTGGCCGAAGCTTCCTCTCCTGCTTGATCTCCTCCAAAATCTTTTCATGCAGGGTCCGTTGCCTCTGAGGCATGGGTCGCAGCCGCCGCTCTGAAGCCTGCAAGGAAGGAAGGAAAGAAGGAAGAAGGAAAGGGAAAGCAGGGTCATCATTATCATCATCAAAATAACAATACATAGAGCCCCCTTTTCTGGAGGTTTTTAAGCAGAGGTTTTCCTGACTGGCAGAAGAGGGTTAGACTGGATGGCCTTTAGAGGTCCCTTCTAGCTCTATGATTCTAATAAAAATAGTAATAATAATAATAATAATAATAATAATAATAATATCAACATCATCATCACCAAAATAGAGTTCCCTTTTCTTAGGCTGGGACTGGATGGCCATCTGTAGGGAGAATTCTAATCATCACCATCATCATCAAAACAGAGCCACCTTCTCTTAGGCAGGGGCTGGATGTCTATCTGTCAGGAGGGTTTGAATTGTATCTTTCTGACAGAAGGGAGTCAGGTGGCGTTTTCCTGCCTGGTAAAAGGGGATTGGACTGGATGGCCTTTAGAGATCCCTTCCAACTCTAGGATAATAATAATAATAATAATAATAATAATAATAATAATAATAATATCATCATCATAATCATCATCAAAATAGAATCCCCTTCTCTTAGGCAAGGGTTGGATGGCCATCTTCTGGGAGGGTTTAAACTGTGTATTTCTGCCTGGCAGAAGGGAGTTGGACTGGATGACCCTTAGGGTACCTTCCAAGTCTATAATCCTAAGATTCTATGAGAGGCTTGATGGCCATCTGTCGGGGGGGGGGGGGGTTGAATTTTGTCTTCCTGCCTGGCAGAAGGGGGATGGACTGGATGACCTTTAGGGTCCCTTCTATTTCTAGTATATTGCAAATAATAATAGTAATAAACCAAAACTGTAATAATAAGTCTCTTTCTCTGGAGATTTTAAAGCAGAGCCATTTGTCAGGAGGGCTTTTCCTGTGTTTGCAGAAGGGGGTTGGAATGGATGGCCTCCGGGGGTCTCTTCCAACTCTTAGGATGCTATTCATCATCATCATCATCATCATCTAGCCAAGGGATGCTTACCTGTCTCAAGGGTGGCCGGGATCTTATGAAGTCAAGGATGAGCGCATGAGCATCTTTCTTCACCCGTGGAGGAATGTCCCCATCCACCTGACAGAAAAACACAAATAATAAACCAAAAGATAAAAATATTATATCATAAATATCGTTAACTCCTTTCTTTCCAGTATTTATTTGTGGTGTCAGGGCAACCAGTCAATTGTATTACATTTCTAACAGAACAAAACAGACAGACAAAACACAAAATTTGCAAGTTTGGTAGTTGATTAGATGTCATTTGACCAGTATCTGGTCACTTGGAGTGCCTCTGATGTTGCTGCAAGAAGGTCCTCCATTGTGTATGTGGCAGGGCTCAGATTGCATTGTAGCAGGTGGTCAGTGGTTTGCTCTTCTCTGCACTTGCATGTCATGTATTCCACTTTATAGCCCCATTTCTGAAGGTTGGCTCTGCATCTCGTGGTGCCAGAGCGCAGTCTGTTCAGCACCTTCCAAGTCCCCCAGTTTTCTCTGTGCCCAGGGGGGAGTCTCTCATTTGGTATCAGCCATTGGTTGAGGTTCTGGTTTTGAGCCTGCCACTTTTGGACTCTCGCTTGCTGGGGTGTTCCAGCGAGTCTCCCTGTAGATCTTAGAAAACTATTTATAGATTTAAGTCGTTGATGTGCTGGCTGATACCCAAACAGGGGATGAGCTGAAGATGTCTCTGCCTTGGTCCTTTCACTATTGGCTGCTACTTCCCGGCGGATGTCAGGTGGTGCAATACCGGCTAAGCAGTGTAATTTCTCCAGTGATGTAGGGTGCAGACACCCCGTGATAACGCGGCATTTCTCATTAAGAGCCACGTCTACTGTTTTAGTGTGGTGAAATGTGTTCCACACTGGGCATGCGTACTCAGCAGTAGTGTAGCATAGCGCAAGGGCAGATGTATTCACTGTGTCTGGTTGTGATCCCCAGGTTGTGCCAGTCAGCTTTCGTATGATGTTGTTTCAAGCACCAATAAATGGATTTAAATGAATCCATTTAGAAAGAAAGGACATCTTAGAAAAGATGTGGGCATCATGAGGGTTGAAGGCATCCTCACCAAACACTCTTTCTCTCTCTCTCTCTATATATATACACACACACACACACACACATCAGGCTACATATATCCCACATTCCATAGCATTGAGGTACAGCGGTTAAAGTGGTGTCAAACTGCATTGATTTCCAATGTAGACGCACCCTTAGAAGTAGGGGAGAAATAAATTCCCTCTAGGATTAAAGCACCTTCTCAAACTTATATTCATAAAGGGGTTCAGCACCTTGGAGAGCTCCCTTCAAATCAGCCCACAAATAAGGCTGATATGAAAACAGAATGAAACTTATATTAAAGCAATCAAACCGACAATAGAGGAACGCCAAAAAGAAAACACCAACAGCTCATATAGAACAAGCCTGTTCTTTCTTGTTTTTGAAAATACTCATCGAATAAAAAACCAAGAAGCTCCCATTTATTAAATGAGTTAGGGACCAAACCAATGTCTGAAAATGGAGTTAGTGCAGAACTTAGTGATAATTTAGATCTATCCAAAGAGCAGAGTATTAAAAATCATTGAAAAGTAAGGCATGCTTCGATATTGGATGGTTTCTTCTTGTGCAAATAATTGAGATTCATTAGTTTTACAAAAGATCTGCTCTCGTTGGAGTCAAAAGATGCTGGAAATGAGTTAAATTGTCTCAATAATTGCCCCAGTGGTGCAATGGGTTAAACCCTTGTGCCAGTAGGATTGCTGACCAAAAGGTTAACGGTTTGAATCCAGGAAGCAGGGTGAGCTCCCATATGTCAGCTCTAACTTCTCATGCAGGGATGTGAGAGAAGCCTCCCACAGGATGATAAAACATCCAGGTGTCCCCTGTGCAATGTCCTTGAAGACTGCTGACTGAAAGGTCAGCAGTTTGAATCTGTAGAGAGGGGTGAGATCCCATCTTTCAGCTCCAGCTTCTCATGCGGGGACATGAGAGAAGCCTCCCACAGGATGGTAACACATCTGGGCATCCCCTGGGCAACATCCTTGCAGACTGCTGACTGAAAGGTCAGCGGTTCAAATCCGGGGAGCAGGATGAGCTCCCATCTGTCAGTTCTAGCTTCTCATGAGGGGATGTGAGAAAAGCCTCCCACAGGATGGTAAAACATCCAGGTGTCCCCTGTGCAATGTCCTTGCAGACTACTGACCAAAAGTTCAGCGGTTTGAATCCGGGGCACGGGGTGAGCCTCTGTCTGTCAGCTCCAGCTTCTCATGCAGGGACATGAGAGAAACTTCCCACAGGATGGTAACACATCTGGGCATCCCAGGGCAACGTCCTTACAGATTGCTGACCGAAAGGTGGGCGGTTAAAATCCTGGGTGTGAGGTGAGCTCCCATCTGTCAGCTCCAGCTTCTCATGCAGGGACAGGAAAGAAGCCTTCCACAGGATGGTCAAACATCAAACACTGGGGTGTTCCCTGGGCAATGACCTTGCAGACGGCCAATTTTATTACACCAGAAGTGACTTGCAGCTTCTTGTGTCAATCCTGATACACACAAAAAATAATTTACATCTATCAAAACAGTAGAAAGTCCAGATGCAAGTCTTGAGTGGATAATTGAGATCCATTCATTATACAAAAGACCCGCTTCTGTTGGGAGTCGAAAGTTGCTAGAAATGAGTTAGATTGGGTCAATAATTTACATCTGTCAAAAGGGCAGAATATCAAATGTCATTGCAAAAGGGGGATTCCTGTATATTGGATGGTTTTGATCTTGAGCAGATAATTGTGATCCATTAATTTTACAATAGGCCTGCTCCTACCGTGCTTGAAAGCTGCTAGAAATGCCCACATTTTGGGGATCCCTATTGCTAGTACAGGGAGTGTCCTGGTATGGGACTGACCACTGCCCCTGACCCCAGACTCACCATGACCTTGCGGAGCTTGTAGTTCCGGGCCCGGATGTCCTGCATCAGCATCTCAAAGGGGGTCAGCTGGTACTCGGTGGGCAAAGGGTCGAACTGCTTCTCCTGGACTTTCTTGAGCTTGACCCCGTTGCGCAGCTCCCGCATGAGCTGGACCCAGAGCCGGGCCTGGAAGACAGGGTATGGCCATAGGCACCAGGTCAAAGCCCCACTCAGACATGACCATCAGGCTCCCCTATCTCTTTTGCATCTCAATGATGAGAAAATAGTATATTATTATTATTATTATTATTGTATATTATATTTATTTACACCCTACTAAATAAATAGTAAGACACAAGGGATTCACATCATTAAAAAGGTGCAATTTAAATTTTATAACATACAAAAGCATAGAAAAATAATAATATAATCTACTAATGTTTTATTATATTAAACTATTATTATTACAATATATTCTATGAATATAATACATGCCATGAAAATCATAATATTATATTCCATGAAAAGAATACTAATCTAAAAATATAATAATAACATATTCCATGGTAATAATTATAATAATTTATTCTATGAATATAATATATTCCATGAATATAAGAAGAGCAATACCAATATTTTCTATGAAAATAATAATATATTCCATGCAATTTATATTAATATATTCTATGACTATTATAATATGTGTCATGATAATAATGATAATAATAATAATTTATTTTATGAATATATTCCATGAAAATAATAATAAGAATATATTCTAGGAAAATAATACTGATATATTCTATTAATATTATGATATATGTCATGATCATAATAATGATAATAATAATTTATTATATAATAATAATTTATTCTATGAATATAATATATTCCATGAATATAAAAATAACAATACCAATATTTTCTATGAAAATAATAGCAATATATTCCATACAATTAATACTAATATATTCTTTGAATATAATATATTGTATGATAATAATAATAATTTATCCTATGAATATATTCCATGTAAATAATAATGTTTATAATAATAATAATAATAATAATAATAATAATAATAATATATTCTATGGTAATAATACTGATATATTCTATGAATATTATGATATATGTCATGATAATAATAATATATTCTATGAATATAATGTATTGCATAAAAATAAGACTAATATAGTCTATGGATATAATAATAATATATTCTATGATAATAACAATGATAATAATAGTAATAATACTTTTTCTCAATAGATGTTGGAGAGTTTCCCTGCAACGGCTCTGTAGTTCCACCTCAAAAAGTTAATTACAGTGAAGCCCAAACCACATTTGGACATTCTCCTTCCCAACTTTTAGTTTTCCTTTAAAGCCAAGTTCGGTGACTTCCTGTTATGTGTCAAACTACAATTCCCATAATCCACAGGAACTACCTGGTAGGGTGGGATTGTGGGAGTTATAGTGTCACATAGTTTGGGTAAATTGGTGGTGGCCTTTTGAGATCTTGTTGATGTCTGATGGTTGGGGATTCTGGGGAATTAAGTCCAACAGAACCTGGAAGGCCAAAAGGCGAGGGCAGCTGCATTGCCCATCGGGACCAAGCCAGGTATGGACCAGGTATCCCAACATCCCCGTATCCCGAATCCATACCCAGTCGGTGTTCCTCAAGTTGTCCAGGTCTGCAACTGACCGGTCTCTCAGCTCCTCGTCTTCATTCTTCAGTTTCGTCAGCATCTGCAAAGAAGAGGACACCGGGGAGATTATTCACCTCACTGATGCCAGATTTAACCTCCAAAATTCTGCTGGAAAGCTTTGGGAAAAGTAACTTTTGGGATTAAGAACCCTCCAGGACAGTAGGATGGGCAAACCTCCATAATCTACCATTCTTGGTGGACCTCTCAAGAAAGGAGTATCAGAAGTAAAGCTTGGGATATCATATGGATTATACACTTGGAAGGGACTCCCAAAGGCCAATGTAGAACGAGGTTGGACTAGATGACCTTTGGGTGCCCATTCTAAGTGTATAACTCTATGGACACCGTAGATCAGTGGTTCTCAACCTTCCTAATGCTGCAACCCCTTAATGCAGTTTCTCATGTTGTGGTGACCCCCAACCACAACATTATTTTTGTTGCAACTTCATAACTGTAATTTTGCTAATGCTATGAATCATAATGTAAATATATGATATGTAGAATGTATTTTCATTCACTGGACCAAATTTGGCACAAATACTCAATACGCCTAAATTTGGATACTGGTGGGGTGGGGGGGGGATTGATTTTGTCATTTGGGAGTTGTAGTTGCTGGGATTAATGGTTCATTTAAATTAAAAGAGCATTCTGAACTCCACCAGTGATGCAATTGAACCAGACTTGCCACACATAACTCTCATGACCAACAGAAAATATTGGAAGAGTTTAGTGGGCATTGACCTTGAGGTTGGGAGCTGTAGTTCACCTACATCAAAAGTGCACTGTGAAGTCAAACAATGATGTATCTGGACCAAACTTGGCACAAATAATCAATATGACCAAATGTGAACACTGGTGGAGTTTGGGGAAAATAGACATTGACATTTGGGAGTTGTAGTTGCTGGAATGTATAGTTCACCTGCAACCAAAGAGCATTCTGAAGCCCACCAATGATACAATTAGGCCAAACTTTCCACACAGAACCCCCATAACCAACAGAATATACTGTGTTTTCTGATGGTCTTTGGTGACCCCTCTGACACCCCCTCGTGACCCCCCCCCCCCCCCCCCGTGGATCCCGACCCCCAGGTTGAGAAACACTGCTGTAGATGCATCCAAGGACAAGAATAGGAAACATTCAGATATGGCAGGGCTACGCCTCCCAGTTGTTTCTGAGCCAGGCCCAGCTATAGTGAGGGATAATGGGAGTTACAGTATGACATCCTCCATAGGCCAGTATGGTCTTCTCTTTCCTTATGGGAACAATGGGGCAGTATTACATTTTCCTTCCTTGCAAGCACGTTCGCACTGCAGCAAACCAGAGAAAAGGCATCATCAGAAGGAAGGAGGAAGAGAACATTGGGACCCTCCCTTGGGTAAATATTTGCTGAGAGGGAGACTAAGATAAGCCAAGGACATTATTTCCTAATGGTCGGGTGTTCCTCCGTTGTGCCTTTTGCACCTGGCAGGTGAGGAGGACCTCTGGAATAAAGAAAGAACGTTTCGTCCTTTTCTGGAAACTCGAACTTTCTGTTTGATAAGGATTCACTCACAAATGACTATTGTTTAATTCAGCGTTTCTCAACCTGGGGATCGGGACCCTGGGGGGGGATCGTGAGGGGGTTTCAGAGGGGTCGCCAAAGACCATCAGAAAACACATATTTCTGATGGTCTTAGGAACCCCTTTGGCAGAGAAGGCGGAAGATCTCTCCACCTGTCCTTCTCTTCCTCTTTGGAAACAGAGGGTGAATTCTCCCACCAAAAGCCCTCCTCCGCTGTGATTGGCCAACCTCTCAGCCAAGGGGAGGGCTGCTTATGAGACTCCAAGCAGGGAGGGAAGAGCAGGCATGCTCGGCACATACGAGTGTGAAGCACATGTGCGGGGCCAACATGCAAGGCTGGAGGGAGGCTCACACTAGCAAGTCCCTTCAAGGCAGTGGGGTTCTGTGTGGGAGGTTTGGCCCAATTCTATCGTTGGTGGAGTTCAGAATGCTCTTTGATTGTAGGTGAACTAGAAATCCCAGCAACTACAACTTCCAAATGTCAAGCTCTATTTTCTCCAAACTCCACCAGTGTTCACATTTGGGCATAATGAGTATTTGTGTAAGGTTTGGTCCATATCCATCACTGTTTTGACTCCACAGTGCTCTCTGGATGTAGGTGAACGACAACTGCAAAACTCAAGGTCAATGTCTTGAACTGCCAAACCTCAAGGCTATAGATCATGGGAGTTGTAGTTTCCCAAGATTTTGAGCCTTCCCTTCCCAGGAATCCTACTTCCACACTATATATACTATTCTATTCTGCAGTATTCTATTTTCTCCAAACTACACCAGTGTTCACATTTGGGTATATTGAGTATTTGTGTCAAGTTTGGTCCATATCCACCACTGTTTTGACTCCACAGTGCTCTCTGGATGTAGGTGAACTACAACTGCAAAACTCAAAGTCAATGCCTTGAACTGCCAAACCTCAAGGCTATAGAATTGTGGGAGTTGTAGTTTCCCAAGGCTTTGAGCCTTCCCTTCCCAGGAATCCTACTTCCACACTGTACAATTGATGCAGTTTGGCATCACCTGAACTGCCAAGGCTCAAGGCTATAGAATCGTGGGAGTTGTAGTTTCCCAAGGTTTTGAGCCTTCCCTTCCAGGAATCCTACTTCCACACTGTACAATTAATGCAGTTTGGCATCACCTGAACTGCCAAGGCTCAAGGCTATAGAATCGTGGGAGTTGTAGTTTCCCAAGGTTTTGAGCCTTACCTTCCCAGGAATCCTACTTCCACACTATACTATCCTATTCTGCAGTATTCTATTTACCCCAAACTCCACCAGTGTTCACATATGGGCATATTGAGTATTTGTGCCAAGTTTGGTCCATATCCATCACTGTTTTGAGTTCACAGTGCTCTCTGGATGTAGGTGAACTACAACTCAAAACTCAAGGTCAATGCCCACCAAATCCTTCCAGTATTTTCTGTTGGTCAGGGGAGGTCAGTGTGCTGCATTTGCTTCATGTCCTTCGCTGGTGGAGTTCAGAATGCTCTTTGATTGTAGGTGAACTATAAATCCCAGCAACTACAATTCCCAAATGACAAAATCACACCCCCCCCCCCACACACACACACTCAAAATTTGAGCGTACATCCTGCATATCAGATATTTACATTGCAATTCGTTGGTGAAGTTCAGGATGCTCTTTGATTGTAGGTGAACTGTAAATCCCAAAAACTACCACTCCCAAATGACAAAATCAATTCCCCCAACTTCACCAGTTGTTAGGAATTGTGGGAGTTGGGAGTCCAAAACACCTGGACAGAGGGCCGAAGATGGCCCGTGCCTGATCTAGACAGTGGAGTCCTATGGATACAGCCTAGATGCATCCAATGGCCAAGACACCCCAGTGTCCACTCTCTCCATCCCAGGTGTATCCATTACTCACCTCCTTGGTCTCCTGGATCTTGGCCAAGAAGGCCTTCAGCTCCACCGTCTCCAGAAAAAGGGCCCGGCAGACCGCTTGGTAGTGTGCCTGGGCCTCTTGGGGCTGGCTGAGCCTCGATGCGCAGAGCCGCATGACCTGGCGGAAGGTGCGCACGGCACGCAGGGCCCCTCTGGATGCCGCTGCTGTCTCTTCCTCCTCCTCTTCCTCTTCCTCATCCTGGCCGCCATAACCTTCGTCCGCCACGCCGCAGCCAATGTCCTCTGAGTCACTGTTGGCCATCAGGTCAATGAGACGCTCCAGGTCGGGGCTGAGCTCCCTCTCCTCATTCTCGTCCAGGCCCCAGTCCAAGGCCCGGTAGATCGCAAAGCCCAGCGACTGCACCATCTGCAAGAAGAAGGGATGGACAGTGGTCATCTCGGATCAAGCCCATGTTGGCCTCCATCCTGTCCAGTGTAGACCCATAAAAAGCCCACCATCACAACCATAACCCAAGCCTAGTTTGCATGATTGTTAATACGTTTTCATCTCTATGGTTGCATCTGCACTGTGGAATGAATGCAGTTTGATTCTGCTTGACCTGCCATGGCTGAATGCTATGAGATCCCGGGAGTTGTAGTTTCCCAAGGTCCTGAGCCATCCCTTCCCAGAAATCCACATCGTAGGATCAGTGCAGTTTGGCATCACTTGAACTGCCACGCTCAGTGCTATATAATCATGGGAATTGCAGTTTCCCAAGGTCCTGAGCCTTCACTTTCCAGAAATCCACACCGTAGGATTAATGCAGTTTGTGGCCATTTGAATTGCCAAAGCTTAATGCTATAGAATTGTGGGAGTTGTAGTTTCCCAAGGTCCTGCGCCATCCCTTCCCGGGAATCCACACTGTAGGATTAGTGCAGTTTGGCACCACTTGAACTGCCATGGTTCAATGCTATGAAATTGTGAGAGTTGTAGCTTCCCAAGATCCTAACCCGTCCCTTCCCAGGAATCCACACTGTAGGATTAGTGCAGTTTGGCACCACTTGAACTGCCAAGGCTCAATGCTATAGAAATCATGAGAGTTGTACTTTCCCAAGGTTCTGAGCCTTCCCTTCCCAGAAATCCACACTTTAGGATTAATGCAGTTTGGGACCACTTGAATTGACAAAGCTCAATGCTATAGAATCGTGGGAGTCGTAGTTTCTCAAGGCTTTGAGCTTTCCCTTCCCAGGAATCCTACTTCCACACTATACAATTAATGCAGCTTGGCACCACTTTACTGCAATGGGTTAGTACTATGGAATTATGGGAGTTGTAGTTTCTCAAGGTTTTGAGCTTTCCCTTACTTCCACACTGTAGGATTAACAGAGTTTAATACCACTTGAACTGCTATGGCTCAATGCCACTGATTTGGGGAGTTGTAGTTTCCCAATGTCTTGAATCTTCCCTTCCCAATAATCCTATTACCACACTGTAGGAACAATGTGGTTTGGCATTACTTAAACTGCTATGGAATCCCGAGAGATGGAGTTTCCCAAGGTCTTGAGCCTTCCCTTTTCAAGAATCCTACTATACACAGTTTGGCACCACTTGAACTGCCAAAACTCAATGCTATGGAATTGTGGGAGTTGTAATTTCCAAAGGTCTTGAGCCTTCCCTTCCCAAGAAAGCCCTTGCCTTGGCAAACTACAGCTCCCAGGGTTCTGTAGCATTAGGCTGTCCCAAACCACATTAACTCCACAAATTCAAAAAGAAAAAACCCCACACAATTAACTGCGTTGCTACTATTATTATGACTCATATTAGCATCAGTAGTCCTATTGTTAATCCAGTGTTTATCCTTTCTATCAAAGACAGAACATCAATGAATATTATAACAACTAATTTCTTTGGCTTATGACTTTCAGGTTCACTCTGACGACAAAGCCGTCTAGACTCTCAGAGACCCTTTTGCGGCTTTGGCCATTTAATACATTTCAGTCTGAGGCAACGAGTAAATGCATTTTTTTCCATTAATGGAGGGGGGGGGGGCTTATGTGTTTGTGAATTATTAATCACTCCCATATTAACTCTCAGCTTAGCTACCAAGACAACAGACTCCCAGGAGGGAAAGGATGAGAAAAGATGAGGGCTGTTCTAGACCTGTTGAAGGACACATAGAGGTTGTTGTATGTCAGCCTGTTCAGCCTGTGGTTGTGTCTGATGTTCATGCTGATGTTCATGATGGGAATGGGGATGATGTTCCTGATGGTGGGCCTGGGACTGTTGGGATTGGGAACAAGAGGCCAGAGCTGTCTCGGGAAGATTCACAAGGCTACATTCTTGAGAAGGGCCCTTCACAGCTTTTCTCAGAGCAACTGACTGAAGATGGTTTGTCAGGTGCAGAAGTTAATGAGAGAGAAGATAGCAAGAGCTTAGATCAGTGTTCCTCAACTTGGGGGTTGGGACCCTTGGTGGGGTCGCTAGGGGGTGTCAGAGGGGTCACCAAAGACCATCAGAAAACACAATATTTTTCTGTTGGTCATGGGAGTTCTGTGTGGGAGGTTTGGCCCAATTCTATTCATTAGTGAGATTCAGAATGCTCTTGGATTGTAGGTGAACTAGAAATCCCAGCCACTCCCACATGTCACGATCTATTTTCCCCAATCTCCACCAGTGTTCACATTTGGGCATACTGCGTATTTGTGCCAAGTTTGATCCAGATCCATCTTTGTTTGAGTCCACAGTGCTCTATGGATATAGGTGAACTACAATGCCAAAACTCAAGGTCAATGCGCACCAAACCCTTCCAGTATTTTCTCTCGGTCATGGGAGTTTTGTGTGCCAAGTTTGGTTCAATTCCATCATTGGTGGAGTTCAGATTGCTCTTTGATTGTAGATGAACTATAAATCCCAGCAACTACAGCTTCCAAATGACAAAATCAGTCCCCCCCAACCCCACCATATCGGGGTATTCATGCCAAATTTGGCTCAGTGAATGAAAATACATTCTGCATATCAGATATTTACATTACAATTCATAACAGTAACAAAATTACAGTTATGAAGTAGCAACAAAAATAATTTTATGGTTGGGGGTCACCACAACATGAGGAACTGTTCTGAGGGATCATGGCATTAGGAAGATTGAGAAACACTGGCTTAGATAGAAAGCAAAGTTTTTGTAAACAGAGACAAGAGTCTGCAGAGACTAAGATGATCGGCTTGTTTACAGTCAAAGAGAGCGAACAAATCTTTATTTGGTCGTAAGGTCGAGAGAAATGCTTTCCTTTCTGTTTTGGGTTCTGGAAAAGCCTTGTGTTGATTCATGGGAAAGAGTTGCCTCAGTCAGGTCAAGGTTGGAATTTTATCACGGTCTTGCTTCCAAGTGCTCTTAGTTTTATGTACCAAGCCTTTGCCAAGTTCCAATTTCATGTATGAGGTTTTCCTGCTTTCTAGTTTCATGGATTCAAATGCCTAGTTTCATGGATTTTTATGTACCTTTGGATCTAGTTTTCCCTTGAAGCTTATGGACTATTTTATATATCGGACCTTTACTGTTTTGCTATTTTTACTGCTTTGCCTACATGTATTCTTCAATAAACTGCTTGCTGATTTTACTAATCTGGTGTGGTGTTTAGAGTCAGAGGTGCTCCTGCTCTGGTGTACAACAGAAGTTATCAAGACTCATAGAAGCCTCCAGGTGCCCTTGATTTATTTGATGTATGTATTTTTGATTTGATTTATTTATTGTTTAACTCTGAAGACCCAGGTTTGAATCCCACTCAGCCATAGAAACCTTGGGCAAGTCATGCTCTCTCAGCCTCAGAGGAAGGCAAAGACCCAACCTTGTTCAATAATCTATTCACCTTCAATCATTTATCAAAGCCATTAGACTAGCATAAAAAGAATAGAATTTTTACCATAAGATGCAACCATATTATTATTATTATTAGTCGTGTCAGAAGCGACCTGAGAAACTGCAAGTCACTTCTGGTGTGAGAGAATTGGCCGTCTGCAAGGACGTTGCCCAGGGGATGCCCGGATGATTTGATGTTTTAACATCCTTGTGGGAGGCTTCTCTCATGTCCCCGCATGAGGAGCTGGAGTTGATAGAGGGAGCTCATCCGCCTCTCCCCAGATTATTATTATTGGAACACCACAAGTTGAGTCCACAGCAGACACTCTGCTGGCTGTTGTATTGGATCACATGTCGGACTCTTCCCAAGTGTCTAGGACTGTGTAATGTATCGGTGAATAATGAGTGCCAATCCCAGTAAGGTGGCCTTTTGCAGTTGGCAGATGGTAATCTTGTCAGCGCCAATTGTGTTTAAGTGCAGGCCAAGGTATTTAGGCACTGCACCCAGTGTGCCAATCACCACTGGGACCACCTTTACTGGTTTGTGCCAGAATCTTTGCAATTCGATCTTTAAATCCTCATATCGTATCATCTTTTCCAGTTGTTTCTCTTCAATCCTGCTGTCACCTGGGATTGCAACATCGACAATCCATACTTTGTTTTTTAACACGATCTTGATGATGATGATGATGATGATGATGATGATGATGATGATTATTATTATTATTATTTGTGGCACAAGTTCCAGTATTTGTGGAACTTGTGCCACAAATCCCATCTGCCTGCAACAAAGAACTGGTGGGATCACAAGCCTGAAAAAGTTACAGAAAATGAACACGTCAAACTACTCTGGGACTTCCGAATTCAGACTGAAGGAGTTTTGGAGCACAATACTCCTGACCTCACAATTGTGTTAAAAAACAAAATATGGCTCGTCGATGTTGCAATCCCAGGTGACAGCAGGATTGACAAGAAGCAAATGGAAAAGTTGACACGATACAATGATTTAAATATCAAACTGCGAAGACTCTGGCACAAGCCAGTCAAAGGGCTCCCAGTAGGGATCAGCACACTTGGTGCAGTGCCTAAAGACCTTGGCCTGCACTTAAACAGAATCGGCGCTGACAAAATTGCCATCTGTCAGCTGCAAAAGGCCACGCTACTCGGATCTGCCCACATTATTCGCCAATACATCACACAGTCCTAGACACTTGGGAAAGTTCCGACGTGTGATCAAATACAAAAACTAGCATAGGGTTCTTGTTTGCTGTGGACTAATTTTGTTCTGCCTCAACAATAATAATATTGTATATAATATTATTGTATATTATTATGGAATATTACAATAATAATATTGCAAAGACTCTGGCACAAGCCAGTAAAGGTGGTCCCAGTGGTGATCAGCACACCGGGTGCAATGCCTCAAGACTTTGGCCTGCACTTAAACACAATCGGCGCTGACAAAATTCCCATCTGTGTGCTGCAACAGGCCACCCTTCTGGGATCTGCACGCATTATTTGCTGATACATCACACACTCCTAGAAACTTGGGAAGTGTCCAACGTGTGATCAAATATAAAAGCCAGCATGGGGATCTTGTTTGCTGTGGACTAATCTTGTTGTGTATCTAATAATAATAATAATAATAATAATAATAATAATAATAATAATAATACAATATTATAAGTATCTTGAACTCACCTGGGCTTCTGCAGAAGGCGTCAAAGTCAATGGGAGTTCTACAAAAGGAAAAATACAGTATTAATATCTCTGTCCCTTGGAACTGGATGAAGAGTTGTCATTGTAGTTATTATTATTACTCCAAATTCTGAGTCTCCCTTGTTCAAAATGCCTCAGACCAGAATTTCAGATTTTCAGAATTTCCCCTTGAAGAAAATATTTGCATCTGTGTCAAGAGATATCTCGGAAATGGAACCCAAGCCTAAACATGACATTTATTTATGTCTCCTCTGCACCTGAAGGTTGTTTCAGACACAATATTTTCAATAATCTTGTGCAGGAAACAACATTTGTGTGCAATGAACCATCAGAAAGCAAAGGTTTTCCTATTTTAGCCACCAAATGCAAGATTTTGGTAGTCGAAAAAGGCATGTGCGACCTTTGTTGTAGTTATTGTTATTATTTCTATTGTTATTACCATGCTGCTTTTCCCTCTTTCCGGGATTCAAAGCATCTTACAACAGTTAAAACAAACATAGCTAAACACTGACAAACATTTTGATATATTAACTCAAGTAGAAATGCAACTGAAGCCAACGGAAAGCATAACCACTAGGAGAAGAAACAGTATTGTCAATAGTGTGGATTGCAAGGCAATTACAAATGTGTATCCATGGACCCCATCTTCACCTCTGTCCCTTCGCTTGGCCAAATGCCCCAAAGCCCTATTTCCTGCCACTGACCTAGTCCAACTAAAAGGGAAAAGGTCACCCAATCCATAGCAACAAATGGAGGGAGGCAGGTGGCTTTTCCTCCCTTTGGGGATCGTCTCCAGGCCAAGGCAGATGGAAGTGCCAGATGGAAGGGAATGGAGTTAAGTGGCTGGATGGACCAGATGGCCAGCAGTGGCCACTTTGGAGGTGGAAGAAGACATGCTGGACACGGACAAAGGAAGGGACCATCTGCACTGCACACTTTATCTAGTTTTGACACCACTTGAACCAGCATGGCTCAATGGTATGGAATCCTGGGAGTTGTAGTTTGGTGACTCACCGGCACTCTTTGCCAGGGAAGTTCCAAGACCTTGTGAAGCTACAACTCACACAAATCCATAACATTGGGCCAAGATAATTAAAAGTGGAGTCAAAGTGTCTGGCCTTGGCAGATGGGAGTTGTAGTTCACCCTTATCCAGAGAGCACTGAACCCAGCTGACAACAGATCTGGACCAAACTTGGCACACACACCCAACATGGCCAACTGTGCCTGGTTTGGGGAGGACTGGCCCACGGTTCTGGAAATTGTAGTTCACCCACATTGTTATGTATTTTCTAATGGGAGCATTCATAAAAAATGAAATCAAAGACTAGCTTTCTGTAATAAATAGTGTTACTGATTAACTAAACGATATTACCTAACACCCCAAAACAAACAATGTTTTTTTCAAATAATCCGGGCACCATCAGATACCCAAGCTAGTGTATACTGTATATATATATATATATACACATACACACACATATATAGACTAACTAGTTGTTCTGGTACATATACATACTTTGAGACACACACATATACACACACACACACACACATATGGTGTGTATACACACATATGGTGTATGTGTGTATAGAGAGAGAGAGAGAGAGAGGGAGAGAGATAATAATACAAACAACAACATCCATGCAAGAAGCATCACTGGTCTTGCATGTCTTGCAGCCCCGCAACACACACACATATATATATGCACACACACATATGGTGTGTGTGTGTGTGTGTGTGTGTGTGTGTGTATAGATCACCTAGTAACAGCCATTGTGGTACATATAAATACTTTGACACACACACACACATATATATACATACATGCATATAGACATATACACACACATATATACACACATATGGTGTGTATACACACATATGGTGTATGTGTATATATATATATAGAGAGAGAGGGAGAGAGATAATAATACAAACAACAACATCCATGCAAGAAGCATCACTGGTCTTGCATGTCTTGCAGCCCCGCGACACACACATATATATACACACACACATATGGTGTGTGTGTGTGTGTGTGTGTGTGTATAGATCACCTAGTAACAGCCATTGTGGTACATATAAATACTTTGAAACACACACACACATATACATATGTATACATGCATACATAAATATACAGAAACACACATACATATATATACACACACACATATGGTATGTGTGTGTATATGTGTGTGTGTGTATAGACCACCTAGTAACAGCCATTGTGGTACATATACCTACTTTAACACATACATACACACACACATATATATACACATATGGTATAAGTGTGTGGGTGGGTGGGTGTGTAGACCACCTAGTAATAGCCATTGTGGTACATATACATACTTCAACACACACACACACACACACACACACATATGGTTTGTGTGTATATAGACCACCTAGTAAAAGACACTGTGGTACATATACATACTTTGACACACACACACATATATACATGTATACATACAAATATATACAGACACACACATACACATATACACACATATGGTATGTGTGTGTATATGTGTGCATAGACCACCTAGTAACAGCCATTGTGGTACATATACCTACTCTGAAACATACACACACACATATATACACACATATGGTATAAGTGTGTGTGTGTGTTGGTGTGTAGACCACCTAGTAACAGCCATTGTGGTACATATACATACTTCAACACACACACACACACACACACACACACACACATACATACATGCATATAGACATACACACACATATATACACACGCATATGGTGTGCATACATACACACATATGGTGTATGTGTATATATATATAGAGAGAGAGGGAGAGAGGGAGAGAGATAATAATACAAACAACAACATCCATGCAAGGAGCATCACTGGTCTTGCATGCCTTGCAGCTCCGCGGCTACAGGAGGGAACCAAGCAAGGAGCTGCAAACACTATGAATGAAAGAAAGGCAATGCAGCAAAGATACTTTTGCTCTCTCTTGCCTCTGTTCCCATTAGTTGTTTCCTTCAGGGACGGTGGGAGTGACGCAACGCTTTGGCCCAGAGCGAGTGCCGCCTTGCAGGGCTGGAAGCATCGTCAAAATGCACCAGGAGAGTCACCTTGCTTTTGCAGGGCTGGATGGAGGTCAAGGAGGGAGAGCCCCCGGCGATCATAACCATTAAAGAACTGGGCAAACGGGTTTTTATGTTCTCCTAAAACACCTTCTTCTTGCGGTGCTTCTGAGCAAATATTATCAGTGCAAACCGCCATCTGGAAAAGCCTTTTCTTGGAAACGTTTGGGTGCAACAATCTTGGAACCCTCTCTCATTCTCTTTCCCTCCACACACATATACATATTTTGTGGTACATATACATACGTGGTACATATACATACGTATTTGTGGTACATATACATATTTTGACACACTCATGGTGTGTGTGTGTCAAAATATGTATATGTACCACAATGGCAGTTGGTAGGCGGTTATTTTATTTATCGTGTCAGGAGCAACCAGACAGTTGTATTACATTTTTAACAAAACAAACAAACAAAACACAAAGTTTGCAAGCATGGTAGTTGATTAAATGTCCTTTGACCAGTGGCTGGCCACTTTGAGTGCCTCTTGTGTTGCTAGGCGGTGAAGTAGGCCTTTGTGATGGTAGTGGAATGGGAATTCCAGACAAGAAACAATCAAGTCAGCTAATTACCTCCCAACAAAGGATTCCTCCAGGCAGTAAGAAGCCAGACCTTGAAGCTGCAAGGCCATTCAATGGTAATCAAGGTGGCCAGTTGCAGCATTCACATCTGCCTCAAAGAGACAAGAGTTCTTTCTCCCACCTTGGACATCATCATTCCACAGATATATAAACCCCACTTGCCTAGTTTCCAACAGACGTCACAACCTCTGAGGGTGCTTGCCACAGATGCAGGTGAAACGTCAGGAGAGAATGCTTCTGAAACATGGCCAGACAGCCCGGAAAACTCACAGCAACCCAGAAAGGGGATTTTTCTGTGAGTCCCTGAAACTCCAGCAAATTTGCAAGTGGAAGGCATCAGGGCGAAGGCCGCCATGCAAAGCTCTCTCTCTGATTTCGGTTCGCTCCTAAGGGCTTATCTTTCCTTTTCCGGAGTGTTTGCACTTCAACTCCCACCATTCCTAACAGCCTCAGGCCCCTTCCTTTCCCCTGCTCAGTCGCTTAAGCTGTGTGCTGGGCCCATAACCAATGTTAGACTCAGTGGAGTGCAAGGAAGTTTCCTCTACAGCAGGCTTAGGCCAACTTTGGCCCTCTGTGTGTTTTGGACTTCAACTCCCACCATTCCTAACAGCCTCAGGACCCTTCCTTTTCCCCCTCAGCTGCTTAAGCGGCTGAGGGGGAAAAGGAAAGGGCCTGAGGCTGTTAAGAATGGTGGGAGTTGGAGTCCAAAACACCCGGAGGGCCAAAGTTTGCCCATGCCTGATTCACACTGCAAAATTAATGCAGTTTGGCACCACTTTGAACTGCCATGGCTCAATGCTATGGAATCTTGTAGTCTGCAGTCTGCACTCTTTGGCAACTCCACTGATTCCACTTCATTGAGCCACAGCAGTTAAATTGGTACGAAACTGCATTCATCCTACAGTGCAAACAAAAAGGCCTTTGCAGAGAAGCAGCCGACTCAAAGAGCTTAATGTTTGCCTTGGCCTCCCACTTTGGGTGTGACAACAAGCCTGACACCAGGTAAATGTTTTTTTTTTCTTATTCCAGGAGCCTCTGGTTGTATTTGAACTGAGCAGAGAGTGCAAACACTCCGGAAAAGGAGAGATAAGCCCTTAGGAGCGAACCCAAATCAGAGAGAGAGCTTTGCATGGCGGTCTTCGCCCTGATGCCTTCTGGTTGCAAATTTGCTGGAGTTTCAGGGACTCACAGAAAAATACCCTTTCTGGGTTGCTGTGAGTTTTCCGAGCTGTCTGGCCTTGTTCAAGAAGCATTCTCTCCTGACGTTTCACCTGCATCTATAGCAAGCATCCTCAAAGGTTGTGACGTC